AATTTGCGGTTTTCCAATATCCAATTCCCTTTCTCTGGTCGTTCTTGTATTTTAGTGTTTTTAGTGTAATCGAATTTCTACTATTCCAATATCCTATTTTGGTCAATTATACCTGTATTTTAGTGTAATCGAATTTTAACCTCCCAATATCCTATTTTTGTCAATGATATCTCGCCATTACGTACTTGCGACGTCCGTTTTGATGTTCTTGTCTATGTTTGGAGGAAAATTTATTGTTTTCTATAAACATAATTAAATAATAAAGTTTTCAGCTTTATCGTGACAGATCTTTTTTACTGATCAACTCAATAAAATTTGATGATCAGCTTGTTTTAAAAAATCTAACGTCACTACTTATTTATTACCCTTGGTCCCAACTACCATTTCTCTCGGACTTTGTGGGAGGGATTTTCCCTTTCCCTTCGATTTTCCGAGGTGATACGTCTTCTCTGAGGGCGAATTTCGACATTGTGGCTCGAACTGAGAACGCGCCTAAACCTCAGTCCTTGTGTTTGATTTACCGTCCGTATTCTGTTAAGTCACGCGACTGTAATTTGTAATTATATGTACCTGTTTTGCTTTGAATAAACCAAGCCCTTTTTTACTTACATATATTTCTGCCACTTGTAATTATTATTATAATTCACCAAGACGTAATACCTGTAAACACCAATCCTTTTTGTCATCTCTCTCTTTCTCTCCCTCTTTCTTGGTTTGATCGAATATATCAATCTCTCTCTCTCTCTCTCTCTCGATACTCTTTTCGGAATTTTTAATAATTTTAAGTAAATTGGATTTATAGAATGAATTTTCGGAATATCAATGGATATTTCAATAATGGATAGAGTATTTACTTAATAATTTTTTTAAAGTATACATTAATATTTCAGCAATGTTTTGTTTTCGCAAGTTTGAAAATAAGTTGTAAAAAACTTTCATAATAAATTGAGAGTGAGGATATATAGCAACTCTACACTCAGAAAACAAGTTTTTTTACTAAAAGAGGGTAATCCTCTTTAGTATGTGCTCTCAGCACAGTGAAGACTGAATTTTTCAATTGGCTTTAACTAATTTTGGAACGTCACATCGACCCGACTGAAAATATGTATTGCAATAGAAATGGGTACTAGAATTAAAAATTGTCTATTCGATTGAAAAATCAGATTTTAGTAAATGCGCCCATGTTTATAACAACGATTAAGGATTCCTTCCGATTTTCTTGCATTGAAATTATTTTACCTCGAGGATTATCCTGTTGCAAAGCAAATCCATTATGTCCATTCTCGAATTCGCCGCTAACTAAACATAAACTTTAGTATCGGTACATTCGAATATCCAATCAGGATCAATCGTTGAACGGTGATCAAACTAAGTTCGAGTTTACTGCCAACAGACTAAACGATTCGATTGCCTTTACTTCCCAAAAGCGTCAAATAGTTGCTACGCGACGGAATAATAGTTGTAGCCTGTGCGGTATATCGCAAGAGGATATATCTTTGCATTTATCCGAGCGATAATCGTGTCAGTATGACTGGCTGGGAAGCCGAAGCGAGTCGTTGTTCGGGAACTATATCGGCAGGGGATCGCATTTAGCGAGAGCCGGATACGTTGAACCGAAGCCACGGATATTTGCATTTCCTTTTAGAGCCTTTTGCACGAAATGATTAATAGCTGGGCCGAACCGTGTCGCGGGGAGCGCAGGCAAGCACAATGTCGAAGGCAGTTTAACGCTTGGTCAAATCGCGATAATCCTTTGCAAACTTTCCAACTTTTCAGCTTTTCAAGAGCTCTACTCTCTTAAGATACTTATTCTATGCTCCAATTGAGATAAACGCCTGCTGCTATTTGCGCACTCTCGCAGCTTTTTTCCGCGGGCTTCATTTTTTTTTTCAGCCAAGTTAGTCGAGTGTACATCAAGCGCATTCGGTTTATACGCACCAAATCTACGTATCGCGAGTGTCTTCAAACGATACTTTTGATGTAGTGTTGCATGTTCTATTTATGGAAGGGCATATGCAGTACAGAAAGAGAGTCGTCGGTTCGGTTCACATAAATAAAAGTGCACTCGAAGTAGGTCACTTGAGAAAAAAAGCTGCAACGAAAAGCACGTCGAGGAACATCAGCCCTCTACGTACGACTGCGAGAAAACTCGAGACAAAAAAACATGCGTCTCGCCTCCTGATAACGAAACCGTGTCGATCGTTAATAATTGGACGGACCTTTCTCTCCCTATTATGAGCCAAAGACAAAAGGACGTGCCGGGGTGGAAAGAGAGGCGTCGTTATCGCTATGCAAGCATGCACTCGACGACGGAAATTTAGCTGTGCTTTCAAGCGCTTTTATTTTGCGCGAAAGTGAAACTCTCCTCTGCGCTCGTTAGCTGCGTAATGAATGGGCTTTTCAAGCAGTTAATGTATCTTTTTTTTTCGAGTGCTTTGCCATCTTGTTTTCTTTTGAGAGTTGTTAAAATAAAATATTGTTTTATCAAAGCAACATTGTGTTTTACGCTTCAATTAAGTACATGCGCTGGAGGGTAGATCGGATATTCACTGTTTAAAAGGTGTACGTGTATCCCTCCTACCTCAATACAATAAAACGTACCGTTACATTGTTTGAATAGTCCAACAATGGATACACAGGTGAATGTTTGAAGTCAATATATATTCATTGTTCGCGCTTTCGAGATTTGCAATCACGAAACGTTGCTTTAAATGGAAGTTAAGTAATTGTTCTAACGGTTAACTAATTGCATTTTTAATGCTTCTCGTGGAAAACATTGTAACCGAACTCAATCTGATATTCGTTTTTATTTCCGCGTGCAAAACTTATTTTTCATTACGTTTATTAAATTATTTGACCAAGTATTTAAAGTTGTTACTGTTGCTACTTCAAGAAATACGTTCGTTTTAAACGCGCATTAGGCATCTAAGTCATAAGAAGTATGCAACCAACCTCCCTACCACTTTTGGAAGGTTGCTGGAGGAGAATTTTTACATGCGTAAGCTCGTAAAATTTTAATTGCCGGACAATAACGATATAACGCAGAATATCGAAATGTTATACAAATAATTTTTGAGAAAATGGCCAGTATTACGCGTATCATACTAATGAAAAAAGAATAACTGCCGATAATTGGACACGCCGCTTAAATTTCAATCGTTTATAAATGAAATAGGGAATTTGCACTGGAACATCTGTGTTTTTTGTTATACCAATAATATTTTCGAAACTACGACAAACGTAATTCGTCTTGTTGTGTCGCCACACACGAAGTTAAAAAACGAGAGGGGGGGGGGGATGCCAATGGTTTTTGGGAAATGAGCGCGATGCATCTGCGAAAAGATACCCCAATATGTCGTTGCGCGCGAGTGCAATAATTAGGCTCTCAAAGTGCGCTCTTCCTTTTTTCGGCATCTGTGCGCGCGTCGAGCGGCTGCTGTCGCGTGCTACACCTGTCTGCGCAAGGCGCGTGCCGCCGCCGCTGTTACAGCTGCCGCAGCTGATGGACGTGAAAACAAGCTCCAAGCTGTAACTTCTTTTGTTACAGCTTCGAACTTTTCTACGCATTTCTATTGTGTTTGAAATGAGCGCATAGGAGACCTGTTTGAAGTGCACGTGGGGATGGGCTTTCATTTTCAATGGTTGTAACACGTACACCTTCTTAATTTTGATGACCAGTTAAGAGTTGCTTAGTTTCGTTATTATCTGTTTCTTTCAACGTATATCCTGCTTACGAGTTGTTTTGTTTATAATTCTTTATTTCCTTCTAACTTCTTTACATAGTAAACTGCTTTTGAATGATATTGCAGAACGCATAATTTTACACATTATAATGTAGAGAACGAACGTGAGAACAGAGGCAAGTCAATATTGATACAGTATAATTACGATAGCTCTTCAGAAAGAAACTCATGGAATGTTTACATAAAAATACATCCTAGCTCATTATACATCTATCCATTGTATTTGCATTTTAAAGTTAGATAAAAATCGGTATAACAGCTTACGAAACGAACGTCCACTAGATTCAATGACCATGCTGAATTTATCCAAGCCTTGTACATAGATCAATAGCTTTTTTAAAATACAATTGATTAGTGGACATGTTATCAAGTTTAGATAAATTTGAATTTGAACTCTCGTCTTTTTTAGCGATAAAAATAGCATTAATACTAGCATAAAGAAAAAAGTTTGCTATTCGAAAATTAGTTGCAAGTTTAATTCGCTTGTTTGAAAAAGTAAATTATTTCTCTGCACGGGTGAATTTCGAAATGTGAACGCGCTTGTGCTCAAAGTTCATTTGCTTTATGAGAAAAAAAAGAGAGATGCCAAGAGGAACTCTAGCCGACGTAGTGCAGAAGGCCGCGTGCATTTCCTTCAATTTTGCAATTTCTCTTTGTCTCGCTAAAGGAAAGGTAATATATAAATCATAGTATGACGGATTTCATTGGAAGACTACTTTTGTCTTGTTCATTTTCAATATATCTTACCGATATAATTCAATTTTGCAAGCACAGTGTGCTTTTACCGTTATCAATCAATTTTCTTAGAGTTTTCAAGAAAACCCGAGCGTTAAAAATACCTTTGTTGGCTATTCCATTGAAAATCAAAGCCTACTAACTAGCGCCAACAGTAATCGCCGTGAGAGCAAATCTCTCTCGCGAAGCCACATCCAATCACGAAAATTACCGTGGAAACTAGTTACCGTGCAAGAGGCAAATAGCAAGTTTCGTTGGCAACTTAACGCTTCGAATTAATTAACTCTCATCCCAGGGAAAACTACAAGCGACACACACGCATCCCATTAGCACGCGCGCGCATTCAATATAATTAATCAATTGAACGCCGCGAACTAATTGCCATGCAGGCGAATTCGCGAGAGCGAAAACGCGGCATTATCGAGGAAAACGAGGAGCGGGAGAAAGTCTGGCGGCGCCGCGTGCGTTACGGAGCGGAGCGGTGGCCACGTGCAGTACACAGCTGCTCTGCCGCCGCTGCTGTCGGGCTGTCGGCAGAAGCAGCCCCCGTTGCTCTCAGTCGCGCGCCAAACGCCGTAGCCAGCGTGTGTCGCTCGCGCGCTCGCACGTGCAGCCAGTGAACGCTTCTACCTCGCCGGCTTCGCCTGCGATCTCCTTTTTCACGTAGGAAAATGGCCGAGCAAGGGGGCAGCCGCTTCGTCGCCGTTGCGCTTTTGGCCGCGCTCTGCATTCTCCAGGTAATTCACGCGAGTTTGCACCGTCGAGCTTTCGCCGATAGATCAGCCACTGCGTCTGCGTCCCGAACCTTCTATTTCAGATTTTCCATTCAGCCGTGATAATTAACGTTCACCCCTTGTCGCGCGCTCGCCTACCTGTGGCAAACAATCAAGTTTCTAACCATACCATCGACATACCTAAAATTATAATTACACTTGTGTCGCTATACGGCCGCGATCGATCGCTGCGTTGTTACCTGGCGACGCGAGCTTTATGCCTTTATAACTCTTTCGTGATGCTGGATAGATTGACAGTTTTGGGATTTCCAATTTCTCGCCCACTCTGCGCGTCTTTCACGGAGATCCATCGAAAATTCCGACAACATTTGCCAAGCAACAGTAAAGCCCGTAATCGCGATCACACGTGTATTACGCGCGTCGAAAAAAACGGCAACAATGGATACGCGAAAAGCGCGGAAGAGTTGGTGTCGAATGTTGACCGTCGTACAAAGGTTCTCCCGCTCTGCAGGCAGCGAAACAAAGCAAATAAAAGAGCGACTAGTAGCAGAGTAAATTATCGGGAAGGGCACACACTCTTATTGTACTTGTCCGCTGAGAGCGTAAATATACACTTCCGTAAACTTCGCTGCTAGTGCTGTCGTTTGCCTTTCTGTTTTATCGTTATCGGAAAGCATGGGGCAACGCGATTATTGGATTCGCTTTTTACCGTCGCGCGTATCGTTTGCTAGGAGTTTCAACGCAGTGCACTGACAGATTTGCTTCTCACTGTTTCGATGGCTGTGCGATCGCAAGTTGGGTGCGCTACGCTCCTGTTATTATTCGATCGAGAATCACTTATTCGGCTACGTGCCGTTCATTGTCGAGGACATATTATTTTTCGGGCGAATGGAAAAAGTTTCGCGAAATAATTCGATTCGCGAGGCCTGCAAAGAGCGGCAGAAAGAAACTTCTGCTCAGTTATTCGGTGGATAAGCGCGGAAAAAGAGGCTCTTCGTTAATTTTCAAAAAAGCGCCCGCGCGTTTGTTTTGTTTCTCCGGCAGGGACCAGAGAATTATGCCATTCTAAATAAAACTCGCTAATTTGCGCATAATTTGCGCGGTTACTCGACCCAATTGCTCCACGTCACGGGAAAAATAAAGGAAAAGTTCAACGTTTCCTTGTCCGTCTCTCCGGGCAAACGAACCGATGAATCTCCATTCTTCTCGCACGCATACGCGAAAAATAAAAAGGCTTTGTTTAACGAAACTAGCTTAAAAAGGTCGGCCGACTTTAATTCGTACACATGCGGTAACGTCGCCATCCATCTTACTAAAGGACGAAAATTCAGGACAAGAGAGAGTCAGCGAAGAAGAGTATTTAAGCCAACGCCCACGACATAGAGTAGGAGAATCCGTCGAAATTATAAAGACCTTGCAGCGGGGCCGACGTGTTGTTTTTCCCATAAATACAAAAGCCCCTGTTTCGCCTTTCTTAATAAAACGGAAGCGGCGGAGCCACTTGTAAAAGGGGCGCGCTCGCGGAAACGTGGAGGGTTGTGTCGCGATACTTACACATATACAGACAAAATCGGAAGTCGCCGTCGCTGTAGAGGGCGAGAGGATGGTTTCAAGGTGTCGACGGGCAGGTGGATCTTTCCTTGCGATCGTATCTCGCTTCTTTTTTTCGTTATTTATGGCTACCATGCTTTTTTGCATTTTAATGAGCGCAGCTTGTCTGTTGAAATGAGCTCGTGGACGGCTTGACGATGCACTTCTCGGGCGTGTTATTCGACGGGAGGCTTTTGGGGCTTTTGTCGAGAAGCACATCAACAATTTGCGCGAGAAGAAGAAAAGCAACTTGCCCAGATAGTCAAGTTTGTCTCGTGCTCCTGCATCTACTAAATTTTTCAGGCCCAACACCAGTCACCATAATAATAATTATTCACACGGATAGCGCGCGAGAAAGCTTTGATAATAATTAATGGGCGAGTCCTGTTTGACGCAAGCACGTTCTGAGGTGAAAATAACTTTGAGTTCGCCTCTGAATCGAAGCAAAAATCAGTAACTCAAAGCGCACCAGAATATAGACGATAAACCGATTAAACGCCGCGCCGCAAATCCATTTCGTCGAAAAGAATAATAAAAGTTGGAGAGTTAGCCCATAAATACAGCTCAGCCGGTTGAAACAATGCAAACTTTTTGAATTTTTGGGTGGTCGGGGGGAGCTCACACACGCACTGCCAGAGGGCTACGTAAGCCGCTTTGGCAGAAACTCGCGGCGCTGCGCACACATAAGGGCGCATAGTTTTCGACGAATAAAATTTATAAGCGACACTGGGAAAGGGGGCGGGGAGGGGGCCGTCCGGCAACTCTACAAACCCGCAGAATGTGCTTGCGCTAGGCAAAATTCTCGTTATTCGAGCAAAGTAATTCACCGCAGTACTGCTATGGGAATTCGATTAATTCAAATCAGCTGTAGCTCGGCGTGGTCGTCTCGCAGCGTCCCATCCAAGTTACGCTGTTGCGACACGTCAATTCGATGCTCTTTATTCAAACGTACTTTTTCACTTGGCTACGTCGCCATTGTATTTGCGTTGCTCGAGAGCGGCGTTGAAAGCTCCGCAGCTAGCGTGGTACGTTAACGTCCAGCTACACGACTACGAGCTTGTTTCACGAGCTTGCCTATTACGAGCTTCTTTCCAATGATACAGCAGCGTGTAATAAGCTTATTTCATTCTCCCAGCGTTTTTCGATTCTACGATAATCCCCTCTTTCCCTTTCGGTTTATTTGCTTTCTGAAAGGGTTGCTAGCGTCTTCCGCCCGGGAAATAGACTTTAAACAAACGTGCGTGCACGCATACATGAGAGACGGCAGGAATCAAATGACTTTGGAAATAAACCCATCTGCGCATTCAGTTTCTCGCAGCTCTTTTGCGTGTACGTGTGCGCGTGTGTTACGAGATATAAAATGAAAAGTCCTCGTTGTTTTTTGTTTTGCGTGCATTAATGGATTTGCTCGTTAACGTGCCGCCGCGACGCGAGCATACATTTTAAAAGTTAAATGAGCGAGTGGATGAAATAAAAGAAAAACAAACGGGGACACGCCGAAAGTGGATGTTCGTTAACGTCTCGCGGATTGTCGGCGGGAGACAAAGTACAATATCCAGGCTTCTCAAGATCGAAACGAGGTGACAAAGGGAAATGGCTTTTGATCAAGGCGTAATGGCTATTCGATGAGATTCTACTACTGATTGAATTTTTTTTCTTCCCCTCTCCCCTCTTTCTCTGTCTTTATGGGCAATTGCCTTTCCCGAGCGTGAATCTGACAGTTTAATTTTTTTGCGAGCACCGTTCCCACTGGAAAATGTTGAAGGCTCTTCGATTTTTCGCGAGCTCGCGTTGCTCTGGCTTGCTCCAATTTGGCGATGGTCGAACAGAGCAAGAGTGCATCGAAACAGTTAAAAAAGTATGCTGCGACTAACGATTCGACAGCGATGAAAAAAGAAACGCAGGGCGAAAGAATGAAGAAGGAAGAGAGAGAGAGAGAGAGAGATTTCTATCGCGAATTACGCATGCGGCCAGCTGGCGCGCGGCTTCCGCATAGAAAGTCGAGAGTGTACGTCGACGTCGTCCTGTTCCGCCGGTGAATTTTTTTTCTTCTTTTTTTTTTCACCGTGCTCGCGGCATGATATGGAATATCGAGGGAAAATGTCGAGAGCGTGTGGGATTGATTTTTATTTGAGTGTGCGCTGATTTTCGTCGAGAGCGTTCGTCTTTTTTTCGCCGTGGATGCATATCTCTGCGAAGATCCTACCCCGCCGATGTTTTTATGCGGCCTTGCTGCGCTTTTCCGCTCGTGCGTGGTTTACTTATTTTGTTGATCGAGAAACGTCGATCTTTTCGCATCGCCGGATAATAGGCTATGCTTCGCGTTGAATAATTGAAGCGTTTTTGCGATGTTTGCACAATCTCGCAGTTTTACATATTGTTTACCGTGTGAAAATATAACGCCAAGAAGAATTGTTGATTTTAGAAGTCAGATGTTTCCGGGAACAAATATTTTACAACGCGTTTTCCCTCTCTGGAGGAGAAAGAACGGAAGTTACCCCGCTGGAAAGAAGAATATTACGTCTTAAAAGAGAAACGCATGCCGGGCAAGTATATGCAACGACTTTTCTTTTCGCGTAAACTCTCTTCACAACTTATTTCTTGTTGCAGTGGGTGCAGCATACTCGAACAAAATCAAGACTAGGATCGAGCAGAATTTGCATCCGAATGATTTCAATTAAAAGTTTGTCGCTTATAAAAAGTACTCGCGCTCTGTTTTCCAACGGAATAAACAAAAAACACACAAGTGCGATTCTTCAAGTTATATATATCTCACCTCCATTTAGGAATGGAGGGTTTCTCCGAGCAATTAACGTTAAACGTCGCGTGTCTTTCGTGCAAAACTTTGTTCAACTCTTGACGTCGAGAATCTTGACTTTGCTAAAGCATAGGATTTTAGATCTCTAAGAGACGCACGGACGCCGCCGTGAAATTTCGTGTAATACCTGGAGGGCGACTCCCCTGTACTATAAAGTTTACACGAAGAAAATTGACATGACGATCCACGCAAGGAACATGCAAATTTGTACGTACGTTTTTCTCGTATGCACGGAGCAGATGAGACGTGAACGAGCTGTACAACAATCTCTGCTGAAAAGTGGCTCTTCGTTCTTTTCGAAAATTTCTTTTACTCTTCTTTCCCAATGCGGCTCGTTTCGACATTGCACGAGGAGCATTCAACTGTCATTTCTTTATTTGTTTGTCGGAGAAGGATTAAAAAATGTTATCTACTCGCGGTAACTCGCTTAACTTTCACGTGCCTGCCGGTTAAATCCCTGCCTGGAATGTATACATTGCACGCGTCATTTTTTATCCATATCGCGGATTTTCATTATTCCTCGTTTTCCCGCTGGCAAACGATGAGGACGATGTGTTTGGATCGCATATTACAAGCGACATCTTTACGTTTCAAACGATATTCTTAATCCAACCACTTTATTCGTTTTTCTTTTTGCTTCACTTTCTCGTGACACGTGAATTAATCTATTTAAAAAGCAGGTCACTTTTCGTAGCTAACGCGGGTCGAATTCTACGCGACGACTACGGCAACGGCACAATTTTCCATCGCAAGCGAGCACAGCCTTGCAATTTCATTATTCGCGCAGGGAAAACGTTAGCAAAGCGTTTGACGGCAATTCAAAAGCCGCACGCGCGTCTACCTGCCTCGCGCCAAAACTCCAAATTCCTCACGAGGTCACACACACACACACACACACATGCGTCTCGCTGCTTTTGACATTACACCTCACTGCTTTTATTTTGAATTGCAAATTTGCCCGCGCCGTCATTTATCTCGTTTGCCGAGATTTTAGGAATCGCGCCGCCGATTTGCCGCTCTGATGGGCGGTTACATCCTGGCTGTCGAGGACTTTCAACTATTTTACGGTGTACCCGATGCTGTGCGCTAGTGATTTAATTAACAAATTATAATGCACCATTCGAGAGAGGTGCTACGCGTTGCAATTTCATATATATTACGCGCTTGTAATTTTAGTCAAATTGATGAATTTCTAAGTCGATTATTTTGACGATAGATTATACAGTTTTAGCATGGCTGTGATTAATGAGTAATTATCGATTTCGGAACATATTCGCTGTATGGATTATTAATATATTAATCTACGTTGTTGTCAAACGGCAAATTCTTCTGGTCGTTAAATTTAGCGAAAGATGTAATTAATTTTTAATTGGGGAAAATGTAATTTTTTCGAGCGAATGATGTAATATTTTCGAGCGAATGCAAGCTTTTTTCCCAACTAAACAGCAGGTAATAATCGTCACGGAAAAAGCTGCGAATTCGTTTTTTACCATTACTACCCTCTTTACATTTAGAAAATTTGAATATTTTACGCGCATTTCAAGCTGGCACAAAAATTCTCAAGTGAATCGTAGCTTTACGCGGAAATTCCACGGCAGCGTGAAAAAAGTGTGTAATAACGCCTGCGGTGAAAAAAAAAAAAAACCGTTCCGATTACTTTTTTTTTCTTTCGTCGTAGCTCGTACTAAAGGCCATGGCTTGAAGTATAATCGACGCACCCTTACACGTTTGGCAGTCCCGCCTCGTCTCGAGTTACGCGTCTAATTAAACGGCCTGCTGACTATTCTGTGATAATGCGATCCGACGCGGCTACGTCGGTGATGCTTCTCCGTACTCGAGTGTCCAGCTACTTTCGCTAATTTTCATTTACCCCTTCGGTATGAGAAATACTTCAGCATAGAAAGTGCTAAAAGGGGAAATAGACAGGCGACGGGAAGGTTGCGATTTTATCCACATTCCCGTGAGTTCTATCGTATTAGAGTGAAATATGTATCGGAAGTAAATGTTGCCGCGAGCTGTAGGTACGCACGTTGTGCTTTTATAATTAACTCGAAAATTTGTATTTTGAGCATATTTATATGTGTATGTGGATATATTTGGAGTATGCTTAATGCGAAATGCGAGGAGGAGGTCGTCTTGAAGTGAAGTGTGAATATCTCATGCGCGAAGTGGAAAGCGAAATCGAAGGTATATTTCGCACTTGAATTTCGTCGCAAAGCGAAAAATCCACGCTTATCCGATTTTCCACTATATCTCGCGCGCCCATCGGTAAACAACAGCGTTACAGCTCCGTTTGCAATTGGCGTTCCAAACTAACGTATCTATATACAGTGCACGCGGTAAAGCAGTTTCCGCGAGTCCATGGCCATAATGACTGTTGACCGAAGGATCGTATTCGCGCTGCGTTGCTGGAATTAAGATGCTATTGCGTTTTTGCTCGCTCGTGGAGAAAGGGTGGGATGAATGAAAATGAGCTTGCAAAAAGGAACAAAGCGAGCGCTCGCTCACCTTTTGAAGTTGTATGCGCTTTTGCAGCGCCGAGGCGTTTTTTTTTTTTTTTTTTGCCGCCGTGAATGAATGTTTAGCAGAAAATTAGTGTAACCATAAAGTACACCTTCGATACGAATGTCAAAGTAATGAAGTCTAATGAATGCTGTAATGCTGGCCTTTTGACAACTTTGCAAAGAGGTTAAATACAATTTATATTGAGTGACTTCTTAATGTTTATTTTAGTTTTACATTGGACTTTATTTCAGTCCGCAATTAAGCTTTTCGGACGCACTAATTGAAACAGTCAAAGATATAACACGACTTTATTTTACATTATCGATTTTATCATACAAAAAATAATCCAATTTTATGGCATGGGCTTACTTAGCAAATATAATAATTGAGTGTAATACTCCGACTTCAATATAGCTTGTAAGTCTTCGACGCCAAACTAGGCGCTAAGAGAAATTTCTCACGGGAAGTCTTACAGTCGAGCAGTGCATTGAATCGTGTCATTCTTTGCGAAGAGCTGGAAAAGTTAAAAATTTTCATTCACTTCATAGTCTTCTCTATCTGCAAAGTCGATATAAATTCTTTGATAAAAATAAGATTAATTATTTTGGTTGTAAAGAACGATACTACAAATCATAGGCACAAAAGGAAAAAAGTTGGAAAAATTGTGGACCGACGACCGTGCACATAAAATTCAAAATACTGAAAAGACCCGTGGCGACGAAAGACAGACGGGAACAGCAGCATCAACGAAAAAAAGAAGAAGGTGTACGAAGGAAACAAGTCTGATGATACATCGCCGGCTGTCGAGAGCTAGTCCAGCACGCGGCACGTGCCAGCTGCCGACTTAGTGGCTCTTTTTTTCCCTCTCTCGAGCATTCGTGCGCGCGGACCATTATCCCGATTGAAGCTGGCCTCGGCTGCCGCAGCGCGTCGCTAATTTATATCATGTCGATGAGTGAGAATCAGTTTTGGTTGGACTTTTCGTAAATGTGCATGTTTGCGCGCTATCGAGTATCGCGCGCGATGCCACGCTAGAATTTGCACGGGCAAAGTGTTCGCACTTTGATGAATTTCGCGGGGATCCGAGGACAACTTTGATGCGCTGCCGCTGTGCTCGTTAACTTTGCTTACGGAGGATCGAGTTTTCTTTAGGAATAACGATGGTGTACTCGAGTGGCTATGCTTTATTTTCATTTTTCGATATTTGCGGATGACTGAATTCTATGAGTTGTCAGGAAAAATTATGATTTTAAAGTTGAGTAACATTTTTTTTGACTTGTCGATTAAAGTGAACAAAAAATTTACAACGATTATTTTAGCATGACATTCTGCTGGACTAATGCCAGCATTTTCAAAAATTATGTATTTATGTAAAATATTTATGTAAAATATTCAGGAGTTTTAACATGCTTTAAAGATAAACTCACTCGTGCGATACAGCAAAACTGGATCGCATTCACATCGATACTTTCTGTTGGAACTTTAACATTTTAACTATATAAAGTTCGATCTGTCTGTTGCAATTTAATTGACTTTATAACATATACGTGAGACCGAGAAGATTGCAAAATTTATTAGCGCGTATCAACGTTGCTCGCCTCGGTGACCTAAATATCTACAAAATCTTGTGACGCGTGGTGAGTGACTAAATAATTAATCGATCAGAAATAATTACGTAAACGTTCAAGTTATCTATTTTCTCCGTAAAATAACTATTAACTTTTGTCGATTAAGAAAGGGCTGAAGGCGATGCGAATGTAAAATCATAAAAGACGGCCAGCATTATGAAATAGAGGCCACTTGAGTACGCCAGATGTTATATTCTTGTCTCTGGGAAGGAAAGAGGATTAAAATCGACCGCGCTCGCCGAGATGATCGCAGTCCAGACAGCTGTCGATAAAAAAAATTCTATAGTGTAACCAAGATCTAAGGCACTCTACCCGAACCTTTCCAAATAAAATATCGGGCATTTTTTATCGCCGACGCAACAAGATTACTCCTGCCAGTCAAAATATACAATTTTAATCGGAAATCTCGCAGCGCGCAAATCAAATTAGACCACTCGACGTCGCCAATCGCACATCACAACTTTCACCCGATGAATTCGCAAGGCGTTGTTGTGATGACGACAATGGAAATGGAGCAGCAACTAATTTGGTATCCCGTATGGAAACATCAATGCTATTCCACCCTCGTCAATAATATGCGCTCTCTCGCAGAGATTCGCTTTGGCTATGCTAGAATTGACGTCAATGCCAACCTCCCTTATTTAATTATCTTTCTCTCTGTACCATCGCGAATGTCAATTAGAAACTCGTTCGTGCAACAACTCGTCCATCTCTCCGCAACGTCACCGACTATTTTCGCTGCTTATTTTCAAAAATGCCACTATAATTTTTCCTCTCGCTCTCATCCAGAATACAATGAACTCGATATCGTTCTTGATCGCAATAATCGCAATAATCACGCGAGCAACTGGCAAACGCCACGAGGGGAGAGAAGTCGGCAAGGTGTGCTTCAATATTCCAAAGTCAGCTGGCTCTCGTTTTGGCACCTGTTCGCCTTATTCATTTTCTTCCTTGTTTTTTATTCGGCGAACGGCGGCAGCAGCAGCAACGGCGGCGGCGGCGGCGGTGCTCGGTTACCGTGTCGAAGTTTGCTTTATTGCGAGAAAATGCTACGGTTGTGTTTTTATATTCTATATAGAACTTTTTTTCTGTACAGACGTTCCAGACGTTGCTATATCGAAACGTTTGTACACAGTTTCATTCGTGTACATCAAGCGAGCGGACATTTTTATTTATTCAGTTATCTCGGTGCGAATTCGAAAGCTTTTTCTCAACAATGTTACGCGTTCCGAGTACACGATAATCAGATTTCATGGAACAACTAATCGTTGCGCGTGATATGCATTCGAAAAACGTTAGCTATATGGTAGCAGATTCGCGCTAAGCATCTATAATTACTCGCTCGCATTTGTTGAACTCCGACGAAAAATAAAAAAACTAGGCGAATCAACGTGTTTGGTTTGTTGCAGATGACCGAGACGACGGGCCACCTGCGGCACCACCGTGGCGACTCTCATTGCAGCCGCTGCGCGCCAGGTTGGGGTGTAGTGGAGCGTTGCAGTCGCGGCCGTGACACGCTGTGCGCCGAGTGCCAGCCAGGCACCTACTCGCCACATCACGGCACCCAGCCCTGCTGGATTTGCTCGCGCTGCGGCCCGGGACTGTACGAAGCGAGGAGGTGTAGCTCGTCCGCGGACACGCTCTGCGACTTGTGCCATCGACGGCCGAACGAGCCGAACGATGATTACAAGCGCAAATGCGAGGAGCCACCACGGAAGGACGAGAGATTGAGCGTTTTTCTCGCGCCTGAGGATGCACGCAGCACCGGCGAACAAAGCGAGATGGTGAACGTCGATGAGGATTTGCCGGAGGATCTTGAAAGGGAGAGGGAGAAGGTACTGTGGGAGGATGCTCGAGCGCAGATGAAAGAGGACGAAGCCAAGATCAACGACGTCGCTTCTTCCGACTGAATCGCACGCTGCCACTTTGTAAGATTATAAAATTGTTCTTCCGCTGCTTCCTTTCCTTCGCTTAAGAACGAAAATCCAGGCGCGACAGATGTACATTGAGCCGTATGATTATAAGAGTGTGTGCGCGTGTCGCGAGCAAGGCCCAGCTGATGTCGTTTCGCGAATGCATAATATACGCCGTTTATGAAATTGGTGGTGTAATATATGTTCATTCATAAGTTAGAGGGACAGAGAGATACATATTTTATAAAGTAACTGCGCACGTTATCATTTCACTCGAATCCAATATTGTGTGTCAGATATACTAGTATATTACTTAAATATCTTCAAATAATACCTATACTAGTCAATAAAAGCAGCTTCAATGAAAAATAATGAATAAGTTGACGAAAAAATGAATGTTCCAGCCGAAAACTTTCAAACAAAAATGTACATAATCGTATTTATTAAAACGATCAAATTCATCATTATACATACTCCCAGATGGAATCATGAATTTTGCTTTATATTTATTTAATCGTATTCGTTTTCTTCCTTGCTATCAATTTTTGATGAATCGCTTATGACCATATTATTTTATTACATATATCACGCGCTCGATCAGGATTGGTGTACATAATAGAAAACGAAACATTACAATATGCGTTGTCTTGTAAGTGTATATTTAATTTTTAATATAATTTCACATGTATCTTTTTTTATGTATATATATATTTTTAATTCATACACACAATATTTGTTTAAATACCCCCAAAGACATATATGTATCTTACGAATTATATATATATATATACATATATATATATATATAACTCATGTTCACCGAGACACACAGTACATGTTTGTCGTTAATTTTATGAACGACTTTTTTGTCAAGCGTCTATATGAATATATTTGAATGCCTATTGTCCACAAAAGCCAAAAATATGCGATATATAATGTATAAGCGACAGTAATCATGATCATAATAATAATATATAACCTTTAATTGGCAACTTTCATAACTTTAATTGATGTCGTATATACCTATCTTTTTGTTCAATCGAACACTTTTCAAGAATGTTATCCAACTCGGAGTAACAAACATTTATTGCCAATCGATTTTTTTGATCAAAGATAAACTTTCCGCGTCGAACAACTAAAAATACTTCAACGACTCGAAAAAAAAATTGCGTTCGTGATTGGCAATCTAATAAAAGTTTGACTCGAGAGAGCGGAAGGAAACGAAACAAAAAATGAAAAGAATCGCCATTGTGGCTAGTCGATGAATCTATATATGTAAACATTGAATGGCACAAAGTATCGGGATTTTCTCCTTATTTTTCGAGAGCATCGCTGTTTACAATTGTTCATTAGCGTGGATTAAAAGGCAGATGATTGAAAATCAAAGGAGTACGCGTATCTGTATCCCTTACGTAGTTTTTTCTTCAATTATTTGTTCTCGACGCACGTGTGAATGTTCAATATATATCCTAAAAACATACGTGAAGACAGTTTCAACACATATATTCGAATGCTAATAAATCTTCGAATAACTTGATTAGGAAAAAAGGCTTAAACTTCTAACCAGGCTTATACAATTCAAACGTCGATTACAAGTTAAAGAGAGACTGTAAAGTTGACATGGAAAGTATGTAACTTAAACAAAAAATTTATCATTCACAAAGGAAAAATTGTCCCATGACATACATGTACGTAGATCTGCCGATTTGAATTGTAAAACAGGGTCGTGCTATTTTTAGCCGAATAGAACTTAAGAGCGCGTCAGACAGAGTTTAACGAAACGTCAGTTATGGAATAATAATAATCTCCGTCTCTTCGCGGTTTATCTGCATTAATACAACTTCATATGATATTGCACGGATTTTTTCCAATGGTAAAGTAATATCGTATGCAGGATTTACCTTTCAAAGAAGCCATACACAATAGATTAAAAATATTATATCGGAAGGCTTTAGCTACGTTTTAACATTATCGACTCAAAAAATATATACTTTAGCTTATATCGTACGTTTATAAAACTTTCATGTTTTTTTTTCAATTGCATTATAGTCAGTACCACTTATATTGTATTTTAAGTAGATTACACAAGATTTCGTCGTTTAATAATTGTAAAGAGCAATCAATAACTGTAACATGCCATTATAAGGTGACATTAAAGATCTCGAGTGAATGTAAAACTCTATTGTCATATTATTCCATCCTCTCTTTCTCATCAATATTCCTTTATTATATTGCAAGATTTTGAACATAAAATATTTCAAAAATATTAAGTTAACATGATTTTTATCTTTTTTTCATATGTTTGCGATTCCGATATTGATATTGTGGACCCATAATACATTTCATTTTAATATTTTAATTTAAATGATTATTTCACTTTTTGTAATATGTCATATTAACTTTCAATATTGCATAGCATTGATTGTGTCAATTATTCAATTTTTTTACAATAGCAAAAAAATAATGGAAACGTTAAAATACTGTTCTTGCTTTCTTTTGTATTAATAATGTGTACGCTAAACGGATTCATGATGAAAGCTTAATTTTGAAGCACTGTAGAAGTATATTTACGATTTACTTTTACAAGCGAGTCACCAGTTAACAGAGACCTAAATAGAGTAAAGATACAGGCTTTAAATATATTTTATACAGTGAATCCTTGTGAACAAATAATCGAATTAAAAATTATTTAGCGGAAAAATTTCAGTGATGACAAATACATACGCAGTCAATGTGTTTTGTATGAAATGGTTATATGTTCTTTTTTCAATACATATATAAACTTATACATGAACTAAACACTCAGCAGTAAAATTATACAAAAAATATCAGTTATTTTAACCATTCACGAAAAAAAAGCAGAAGGCATAGAAGCCATTCTTGCAACAGATTCGTAATAAGCATTATTTTGTCTATTTATGTCATTGTACATTGTTATCAACTTTGAATAAAAATTTTTCTTTTTATATCATAAGTTACCAAATTAAAAAAAAAAACTATGAATTTTAAACGCCCATCTGATGAATGTGGAAGAAATATACATGTATATATATTAAATATACACTATCAACTACTTATTATGAACAATAATTTATTGATTATACTTGAGTACTTGTAGTTTAAATATTTCCTAAACCGTAATTATCTACAATAATACAAATTACAATTTCATACTAAATCTGATCTACAGATATAGTACATACAGTTCATCTAATTTTTACAATATCTCTTAAAAATTATCTCTCATATACGATAAAATAACAATGGAAAAATTGAACTCTTATCATATATTCAATTAAATGGTTTATTGATTAAAAAAAATTGATAAATCTCGAATTGTCGTTAACAAATAAATGACATAAATAAACAAGGAAACAGTAAAAAAATTTGATTATAATTTGCATGGTATCAGCTATATAAGAAACAAGACTCCCGTCATCACTATTATTTAATAGTGTATTTGTAACAAACGTAGATGACGAGAGTAATTATTTCAATTAAAACTAATGTCCATACAGCGACGTTGAAAATGACGGGTACCAGATATGAGTGAATAATTATGGATTGGTAATGTAGGTAAATGGGTGAGGAGATGTAATAATATCTACTATTACCAGAATAAACTTCGCGGCGCATAATTTAACAATAGTCCACTTTATGTATATTTTTTATATATAATATTTATATGCGAACATACAATATCTGTATGCAGTTGTGTATATATATGTATACGTTGGTTACACATCTTTTTAATTACAACGCTTAATCTGCACGATTCCACCAACATCTCTTATCATTTTCTTTTTCAAATCTTTGTACAGGTATCGTCATTTTCTCATTTATTTTTCATGTTCTTGATTTATGGTTCAAAGTTTTTCTTTTTTTCATTTTTCTTTATTGGTAATATCTTTTTGAAGTTTATAATAAAAGATCATTTACGCTTGCGAAAATCGATTTTAATGCACCGAGAGAAAAAACAAAGTGTCTCGCTTAACTTTATTAAAAGATTTATATAATAATAATAATAATAATAATAATAATAATAATAATAATATTTACTTATTCATGTAGATTTAAGAGTTGAAATATTGTGTCCAATGATTGCATTTCGTGTCCTAAAATTATTTGCCGAGTCCTCCAGATCGACATCAAACTTATTTTAATTTTTCATTATAAGAACATATACAATAATATTGAGATTCTTTTGTAAATGTCGAGTCATTGAATTACTCAGCTTTTGATGATAAATTTTGATGGTTAAAAAAAATCGATACTCGCAAGAAGTGTTTGGGAAAACTACTGGTTATTATTTTCTTTACAAAAATAAACGAATTTTAAATCAGAAGTAAAAATTCAAACGAAAAAACAGAGTATTGGACAGACATAAACTTACTAGGCTAACATTAAATTTACTTAATGTTATTTTTTGAAAATGTACAACTCAGAATTAACACCGTCAGGTCAGCATCTATACTTTGATACACATGACTTACAGACCATTAAAAAAAAGTCGACGTAAAAGTAACAACGAACAAGCGCTTATTTACAATTCTAACAAAAAAAGAATAATTTTACAATTTTCTCGTACACCAGCGTTGTTATACACCGCTCTCGCGAGTCCCCGCATCTTACTTTGCACTTTGTTCTTTCGATTATCCAATTGAATAATATCTTAATATAAAAAAAATTATATAAAATAATTAATAGGACAATTTAAATATAATTTATATTCTCCATGTGCACGGATATTTTTTGAAGTCTTATTCTGTTATTTTTTCAATCTGCTTGAGATAATTGCAAAAAGAAGTAAATAAAAAATGAGGTAAGGCGAACTAATTACATTACCATGAACTGACCTCATTAACACTGCATTATAAGTGCTTACGGACTAATACTGTCCAACTGTCTGGTCGACTTTTGCAAATTAATCTCATCTTTGACTTCATCTCAACACGATAAATATAGTCTTCTTTACTTTGTCTTATGCGGTAACAAATGATTCTCACATAATTAATCTACATACGAGAAAAGGCTCTTCATTCCTCTATGCAGCGCAACTCTGGCTGAAAGCTTAGATGGGATTATATGTGTACTTTTGTTTCCGCTTTGAAGTTTCAATTAAATAACACTTAATAGAGCGACTTTTCGTTGCACTACCATCAAACGATATTCCATTTCATTTTTTTCTTATAACCGCAAAGATCATTTTATATTAGGTGTAAAAAATAAGTTGGAGCTGATACGTGCACCTGCTAGGCCGATTAAAATTGGTCCACCAGCAGGTCACAAATCTCTACAGATATAGATTCTTTACTCGATCGTACAGTAAGACGGAACATCTGGAAAAAATAACAATATTTTAGAAGTAAATTTTAACGGCATTTGAGAAATAATATTGTTGATTAAACAGAAATATATAATTACCTGAGCTTGTTTGTTTGGTTCCAAACGCAGCAAACAACCAACTTGCTGTTGCCTCATATGAATAATGCCAGCGCAAACAAAATTGTCGGGATTAGGGTCTATACCATCTAAAAGTTGCATACCAAAGCCTTGCAATTTTGTGCGGACTTGTGCCAAGTCCATTGGTTGCACAGCTTTGAATATTTTTTGTGATCGTTGTTGATTAATTCTAAAATCATGTTTTATCACATCAAACAATATAATACGAAAAAGAAAAAAGTTTTCTTTTGACTGACGTACCCTCCAAGATTCTTCCACCTAGCGAAGAATGATTCCCCATTCATTTCCGTTGGCTCGAAGAATTTATTTATCATTAGTGGTAACTTCATCGTTATCTTTTGAGGTAAGTTGTTATAAACAAACGAAATTATCATACTAGGGGCATCTGAAATAAGAAAATCCGTTGAATATGAATAATTTATTTTAATGGAAAAATCAATAACATTGATTTGATAATCACCTGTATAATCATCAATACACTCAGCATTTATCAGCTGCTGAATTTGAGCACCTGCTTCTAAAACAGAGTCTACAGGTTTAACCTGTACAGCCAACTTTGCTTGATTTTCATCAGACCAAGATATTTGTGGTTGAAAATTTAAGAGAGCCTGCTGTGTTTTATTTCCATAAAACAAACCAATACGTCCAAGATTTTGTCTGAATTCCGATTTTACGCCAATCTGAATAAGATCGTTTTCGAAAAGTACGCCATTGTTTTTGCATACAAATCTAAAAAGAGATTTCACAATTTAAATACAATTTAACTTTCGTTGGCTATGATTCGAAGTTTGATACTTATACTCACTTTTTGGCATTGTAAGTGGCTTGAGTGCCATTGGCAGCTCCTTTGTTAGGCATATTGTAAATATCTCCAAGAACGTCGAATAATACACCTGTGTTGCCAGCTGGTTGAGAGGATGGTGGCGTCGAAAGACCCAGCAAGTCAGCTGACGAATTGTTAACAGCAGCAGCAGTAACTGTAACCGATGAAGTATCGTGATGATTGGTGTTTGGCGCTGGACTCTTGTTTTCGCGAATTTCGTTTTCCGGAACACGGCCAGGCTTCTTTTTCTTTAATACTGCCAGAATTGAAGATTCTCTTTCAGGAAATGCCGGCATCTCTTCGAGTACAGTCGCCTGTGAGTTAAATTTAGTACAAAGTTATATCATAAGTTATTTTTCAATAATTAGAAATATGAGTGAAATTATAATACTCACAAGAACATCTGAAGATGCAATGATACTGAGTTGTAAGTACTCAGATGCTCGCTGCTGTAATTCAGCGTCAGCACTTTTCAAATTACTATCCTGTTTGAATACGTCTTGTATTTGTCCTCTTATTTCCGGGAAAAGATTGACAAATTTGATGTACGTTGATAAGAGTAGTGCTCGCGTCATAGGAGAGCATAAGTGATACTGCAACAAAAAGCAATTTAATCAATTTCATTCATTATGTTTCTTCTAATTTGAATTATTAATATGTACTTTGGAATGTAAGAGCTGGAACTGCACCAAGGGTGAAGAACGCGAGTCACCGGCAATAAGATTGCCAAATTCGCCAAGAATGTAGCCACCTACTTTAACCATGTTTTCGTGACAAGCTGGAGCTTGCAAAGCCTAACGATCAAGTCGAGAATTTATAAGACTTTTTATTTAATGATAAATAATAAAATATTATTAGTAATGAAATAGTACCTCAAATACAGTTTTTGCTGCATAACCCTGCACATCATCTCGGTTGATCACGATTTGGATGACACGATACCAAACTTCTTCAGACACGTAATCACCAGCTATCCTAATGAGATTGAGAATAACGTCTACATACCAAGTGTAATCTGTTGCGTATTTTTCAGCCAAAATAGCAACTTTCAACACCATCTCTTCCCTAATCGAGTAATCAGCAGTCTCGAGGTAGTTTAACATTTCTTGGACAATTTCTTCAGCATTGCCTTTGTCGCACATTGCGTAAAGTAGATCTACAGCTTGTTGTCTAACAGAGACATCTTTCTCCATCTTCATTGAGAGAATGACAACCTCCTGATGCTTTTTGACAGCTTCGTGTGAGAATTCAGATTTCGCCAAATGGCACATTGACTCAAGAGCTAGGTAACGTAGATTAGTCTCACGATTCGAGAGGAACTGACCAAGTTGATTGCAAGCTCGCACTAATAAATTCGGCTCACTGTCATTATGAATGATTAAACTGATCGCTTCAAATAGTACTGCGTTCTTTGCGTTGGAATGCTGGACTTTCTTTGACTTTGGTGGCTCTTGAATCTTGTTCAATATTGTCTCGAGACATTCGTTCAATCTTCCTCTCACACCAGGATCTTCAGCTATGTAGAAAAATATGGTGAATATTAATGTTAACCATAATTTCTTTTAAAAGTATGTTTTAAAACTCACTAAAAATTGTATTTGCAAGGTAATAATAAGGCTAAATGTATAACCTAGTCAATAGATAAATGAATTTCAATGAGTATTACCTGGAGGATTGTAATTTTGTAAAAGTTTCAATAATTTAACTGATAACCAAGGAGCAGGAACAAAGTAATATGTATAATCTTGAAGGTCAGTGTAACTTGATGTGACAATCTGAAAAAATCAATTTTATTACAAAAAATATATTTTATAAATATTTAAAAGAATTAAACAATTTATTCTTACTCTACTCAGACGAGAAACCGCTAAACTGACACAACCTTTATATTCGTCAGGATTCCGTTTAACAAGAGCGTCAATTAAAGATGCCGCTGCAGTGACTACTCCTAAATGTTGATCATTTAACAAATGGATTATGCGAGAAGTCCATTCACCATCAGAAATAACATCCGGTGCGGTTCGCAAAAGTCGTAAAAGGCACAGAGCAGCACTTTGCTTTACGACGTCCATCGTATCTCTAGATTATTTTAAAAGTAATTGTTAGAATGAGTTTTCTTACAAATACTTAAAATTTCAGTTTACTTTTTACGTTTGGTTGACTTACCCAGACACAAGAAGTTTTGGGATATCTCGATTGAAAGCTTCAGCCATATCCTTACTACCGATATTTGCAATACACTGTAAGGCTAGATTGACGTGAACTGGATTTCGTGAACCAAGATCATTCTTTATACTTTGGATGATTAATTTAATTAAATCACTATTGGTGTTAACTAAGACTGATATGAAAAGATAACCCTGCACAAAAAATTCATCATTGTATTATCTATCTAACACTTTTAAATACACTTCAAAATAAATTAAAAAAACTAACAATTTGTTTCTCTGAATACTTGTTTGATGAGAGTAAGTTGACTGCCTCCATGTGGCCGAAATCAATGTCATGGCCAAGCAAGAAAATAAAGAGCAGCTTGCAGACATACTTCTTCTTTTGATACCCATCAAGGGTTTTATCTCCTTTAAATTTACTTCGAATATTTGCTAATTCTTTATTTACCCTCTTGATTTCTGCTTCTTTACTTTTACCTATGTCAAAAATATTTATCTTGAATAATAATCAATTCATAATACTTTTTACAGTGTAATATATATCAACAATATATTTTGAACTGAATGGCAGATTGCCACTTGGCTTAATGACAAACTAATTATTTGCAACAATATGTTTATTTTTAATTATAAATAAGTAGTGTAAAAACATTTGTATGCATACATAAATTATTATGAAAAGGATAAAAACTATTATCTGAAAAATTATATACAATGATTTTAAGCAAAATTCTGAAAATTGATTTGGTACTGCTTTGGCTGTTGTCACAAAAAGTTTGCTCTATCAGTAAGATAGGACAGTATCAAAACTCCGCCCCCCCCAGTACATATGCTCTGAATCATGTAATCGCCTACATTGATTGAAGGTCTCACTGACATATATTTGTTAATTTGCAAACTTGAATGAAAAAACAGGCAACAATAAAACTAATTCAATAATACGTTAAACATTGTATGTTGACTGAAATTTAAAAATTGCTTTTAAATTAATACAAACTTAATTCAACTCTACATGCTCCAAAATGAATTCATACTCACAATTTCTGATATCTGAAATGAAAACAGCTAAGCCTCGCATGCCCTCTCCTCGAACAGCTGGCATTTTTATTGATTAAGGTGGAAAATTACCTGCAACGAAGTATTGTGTTTAGATATTTTTACATCACAAATTATTACTTTTGTATAGAAATTTTCAAATATAACCAAAGTAGTTAATATATTTAATGAGAAAATTTAAACAAGTACACTTGAGTTATTGAAATATAATAGTATGAACATGTTACACTGATATGATTGCACACTCAATAATGGCTTCCATTACTTCATCAAACTTTTTCCCTTTGTTCTATACACTTGTCATTATATGTAGTGTTTCTGTTACATGCATACGATACGTACTAATAATATGCTTAGATGTTTTTCTATTGATTTGAAACATTTTCAAAGATATTTCATACTTCTATTACTTTCAATTGCAACAGTTGTTGAATATAGAACTCTAGGCATGACATAACACATAAGTAAACTGTAGAAACTAGTAATTGTTGGAAAGATCAATACTATCACTATGCTTTTACATGTTCAGCAGAAAACATAATCATACTTATAGATATATGGGTACAAGTGTCATAGACGAAATCTCATCCTAGCACGTTAACGTCTTCTTTTACTAGCGTCATTACAGCCCAGGAAATCCTAAGTACGAGTATTCAATGGTCAACACTTGGCGACTCCAAAATAATACAAAGTTCCCGCACACGAGATCCAAGACGGAGAGGGAGAAGAGAAAAGCCGACAAGTACAGGACTGAGTAGGTGTTATTGAAACGTTCCAATTAGAGAAAGAGAGGGAAAGAGAGGACAGTGTCTGCGTCTACGGGCGTTTTTGACAGGCCGTGTCAAGCGGGTCATCGACTGGGATATGTATGTGGGGGAGACACTAGGCTGCACGGAGCTGCAGCTCGATACTTGCGAGGAAAGAGACTGAGTGAGTGTTAGAAAGAGACAGAGAGATAAAGAGAAAGACGGTCGTTCTCGGCATGCATGCGAAAGTCATTTGCTTATAGATGTATACGACGTCTCATATATTTTCGTTTTCGTGCGCGAAGACTCCATAATATTTCGGAGCGTGACGTGTGTGTATACCGCGTACAGCGGCCGATCACGGCGGTAGATTTTAGCGCGTTGAGTCCGTTAAAGGGCGGCTACTTACACGCAGGCAAGTGGGAGGAGAGAAAGAGGATGATGGTCCCAGGCACTCCTGATGGAATAATCGGCTATGGAATCCTTGGGTGTAAACACCTGGTTCTTCTTGTTGTTTGACTTATGGACGTGCTCTCTTCCTCACACACTTGTGGAACTCTTGCCTTCCACACTCGCGCGATATTACCGCTCGGTCGAGGGACTCTCTGTGCCTGTCGCCATTTGCACAACCGCCGGACGAGCGCGCACACAGGCTTGTTCTTTCTCTCTCTTACTCACACCAATACTACAATATCTAGCGGCAGGATGTGTCGGTGTGTTGGTTGAATTCAGGGCCAGTCGCTCGATTGATAAGATGCGTATATAGCTGATGCGTTCAATAATTGATTTTCCGATGAATTGTTGAGAGAGAAGATGAAAGCTAGTCCAAGATTATGTTGGTGTACCGCATAGATTTCGTTACGGAGGCGTATTGACAATTTTCAACATGATATCGTGGCTCTTTTTTTGCGCGAAACTGACACGCAACACGCAGGCGTTTATACAATGCCCGCGAGTGTTTGAAAACATCATTGATGATCGCGCTTGGCGTTTATTGTTGAAAAGGTCGTTGATTTATCACTCATCAAGTGAAAATAACAAGAAAATTATCAAATGACCCCACGTAATACGAATTCATTGAAATGTTATAAATACGCACATTGATACGTATAACATAGATGTAGGAATTATAAATAAATCCTAGAAATTTTATTTGAAGCATAAAAATGAACAGTATTTGTAAGGAGAGAATTATGATTACATAAAATTTTTCAAGTTACAAAAAGAAGATAGAAGTAGTAGAAAATTAAATACATTAAATTTTGAACCATATTACAAATATATATAATGCTTTGTAGACAAATGCAATTCAAAATTGCAATTTATTGATTGAATTGAGAAAGTTGTTAACTTATCATGATCAAAATGGGGATAATACAAAAATTATTAGTATTTAAAATTGTAGGAAAATATTTAATTTGGAGAATGTGACAAGTTTTTTTGGAGCATTAAATTTTAATATGTTGAATGATATGAAAAAAGCCATAAACAAATGTTAGAAAATGCCCGGATAAAGAACAAGGTGCAAAGCCTGTACAGTCAGTTATCAAAAATCTCTGAATGGTTCACAGGCAACTCGACTTGCCCTTGATACAACTTAAATTTGAATAAAATTAAAGAACTTTTATAACTTAGATATAATAATATAAGTAAGTAACAATAAAAAAGGAGAAATCTAAGAATTGAATAACGAAGTATACAAACAAAAAAAGTGTACCAAGATGATCCATAAAATAGGATGTAATTTGCAAGACACACTTTCGTCTGTTTTCAATAATTGAATTTAAATATATTCTTTTATAAAATAATATTAACAAAATTAATTTAATCATAATAATAAGTTTTTTAAGTACTGTTTTTGATTTTTTCCAATAGAAGCTCCATCCTGCCTGCCATCACTGGCTGACCTTTCTTAGTTTTCATTGACAAAACTTTGAAGTTTTTCATTTTCTTTTCTTTATATTTTTTCAATGCTTCTTCTTTCTCTTTTTTAGCTTTGAGAATATTTTCTATTTTTCTTTGTTTTTCTTCTTGCTTTTTTAGAAACTCTTTTTTAGCTGAAAAGAAGGCATTTCTTGATCGGTTATTTACAGATTCACTGAAAAAGTATATTTTATTTAAGCACCTTATTCTCATTTAAATACTTTATTTGCTTTACTGATTAATGAAATGAATAGTACCTTGCATTATTTGATGGATCACTATTTTTTAAACTTGACTTTGCAGCTTTTTCATCTCTTTCCAGATCTTTATAAAGACGTGTAAGTAATGTTTTCTTTCTTTTCTGTTCCCACTGTTTCACTGAAATTAGAATTATTTTGTTTAATTGACTGCTTAAAATAATACAAATTTATAGACAGCACTGGTTTTTTGTGAATGAATTTTTCATATAAACTAATTAAGTCATTATTTACTCAATTTAGTGAAGAAAAATTAAAGAAATTATAAAAAAATAAATAAAATCTATGAATTTTTTGTAAAAACATAACCTCACCAATTATAATTTACCTTTATATTTATTGCTGTACTTCTGTTCACGATATTTCTTTTTGTTAAATGGTTTCTTCCCATTTTGTTGACTGTCCTCATGTTTAAGGTTTTTGTTGCTACTTGGATTTTTCTTGCTTATGGGTCCCATGCTGTCATTTAAAACAACGTTGTGTTTACACAATCATATATATATGCTGTATATGCATCATAAAGTAACGAAGATTCCTACTATATCTATTCGAGGTATCTCCAAAACATAAAGGGATGGCGCTACTTGTCTTACGATTTGAATTTTCTAATTCATGGCCTATACTGTAAAAGTTCTGCCAATAAAACGACTGTAATAAAGGAAAAAAATTTGCTAAATATTCATCAATATAACAGCATTCTTTTACTTTTAGTCAAACTTATTCTTTATTTCACTTAATACATATATCGTATTAAACGTTCTATATATTATTCTATATCTACTATTTGTATCATAACTTTCGGGAATTCCAACGCCAATTTAAACGTTCAGCAATGAATAAATATGCTTGAGTATCACAAAACTGTTATATTTATAATATATATATATTTTTGGAGCTATATCAAAAACGCTTATCAGAGAAAAAGACTTTGGTGTGGATATAAATTGGATGTCTTGTTTTGTACGTGGATGAAACCGCAAGAAAATGTTGCAAATTACTTCAGTTGTGCCAATTAGCACCTCGTAAATAGTTATGTCCTTTTCATTAATTAAACACTAATATATTTAGTTAATTAACTTGAAATATATATGGCTAATCGAATTAGCTTCAATTAAAATCTCAAATGCGAAAACTCAATTATTCATATTTAGGTATGGATAATGAAGAGATAAACTAAAATTCAAGCTATATAATTTATGAAAATTATGTTTTCCGAGTGAATTAAGCGTTCGAGCTTGTTATGTACATATTTTGATTTCGAGACATGAAAATTATGAAAAAAGAAACTATATCTAAAGCTGACATTTATAGTTATAGTCATTTATAGTTAAGCACTGTCATCACAATATTTTGATGGTTCACGGGCCAGTCAGTGATCGCACTTTGTACACGCAGATAATCGGATTTCCGCGTTGCAAGATGTCCTTGAACTCGGTGCCAATCGAAGAGGAGCTTCGCAAAAATTCTGCTCTGACAAAAGCAGACATCGATTTGCTGAAAAGCTGGTGCGACGAGCAATTTTATTCGCCCAACATGTCGAGCAGCGATTTAGCGATTTTCCTGCACAGCAGCTATTATTACGTAGAACGGGCAAAGCTGAATATCATGAACTATTATATTACGCGTCAGTCATTGCCACAGTTTTTCAAAAATCGTGTCATGCATTTGGAGCAACTGACAAGACAAATTTTTAACGCACCGTAACTTACACGAATAAACGCTCTATGCATACTTGCTATGATAAAGCTTATCGCAGGTGTTTATAACGAGTCCGCATAATTTCAGTGCTATCATTCCTCTGTCGAAAACAACGAGAGAAGGCTACAAAGTGATTCTCATTCGTCCATTCTACGTCGCACAGAAAAACATTTCATCTACGAATGCAATTAAATATTTGAACATGGTATTGGACCTTAATATCTACGAGGAAGGAACGCACGAGGGATACGTTTTTGTCGTCGACCTTCACGGAGCCAATTTCTTCGACCCCCGTTCTTTCAATGTGACGGCCGTGAAAGCATACTTTGATTATCTCCAAAAGTACGTGCCGATTCGTTGGTTCGGCCTGCACTTCGTCGACACAGTTTTTCCGTTGACAGCGCAGAACAATCGATTGACCAGGATGACGATCGTTCAGAACGATTACGTGGATGCTGTAAATTTTTAATCTCAACTTTACGATGCATTCGTTAAAATTATCTCTCCCTTTTTCTTTCTCAATATTTGCCTGCGTTTCAGATGTACTTCCACTTGGACTTGGACAGTCTGAACGAGGTTGTGCCACTGCATGTTTTGCCGAATGAAATGGGTGGCCAAGCAGGTCCTCTGAAAGATTTACACGAAGACCAACTGCGGAAGCTTCGAGAAAATTGGCTTTGGTTCTTGACGATGGAATCGCAAGAAAAATCAGCCTGCATGATTCGAGGTGTTCACGAGATGAAGCTTTTTCTGAAGGATCTGAAAACTGATATCCATGGTTTGGGTAATGTGCCTTTCGCAGTCTGATTATTTATTGTATATTTTGAACATTTAGGTGCGTTGTTAGTTTCAAACACTGTCTCATTCTCAACGTTATCGTCCTATATAAAAATCAGTACCCATTTTGAATATCGGCTGGGCAAAAGGGAATATGTCTGTTAATTATTTTCTTTGTGAATTCTCCTATAATATATAATATTTAAGTCTTCTATCCCAAGTTGGTTGCTGCATTGCGATGTAGCGTGCTATCAAACAGCTCGGAGAGGGAAAAAATGTAAAATCATTAATATATGTGTTTGAAAATTGAATGGAATATTAACAACTTATTTGAAAAATAAAACATTTCAATAATTTTATCGTATATTGCACTCTGTATTATAAAAGTACGAATTCAAGTTTTATATTTCGTTTGCGACTGATAGAATTACGATTATCTTAATTTTAGCAATACATAAATTTTCATTATTATTTTCATTGACATTTTCACTCTATTTTTAACTTTCACGCAGAATAATGAGAATTTCAGATGACATATATCTATTTTCATTAATCAATGGTATTTTAAAATTTAACTGTAGAAATTTAACGTAAATAAACCCATATTCACAGGCATTAATAATTTTGTTTTCGGCGATTTTTTTATTTCGAAGTTATTTCTGACTTCCAATGTGTACTCTTTAACGTATTGCCAATTAAAATATGAAAAAACGTGGCACAGATGCGCATAACGAAAAAAATGATGTCGAGTTGAATAGCTGCTTCTTGTTTTTCACTGTTATGACATTTTTTTATTTTTTCTTCCAAAATATCCCGGGAAAATTCTAATTTTTAATCTCGCGACAACTGCACACGACGAGAATAAAGAAATGTCTACGTCGCGTATAACAGCAGAATCTTGTGTTCCCGAAGACTTTATGAGTATATGCGAGAGCGAAGCTCGCGGCTGCTTGGTTTATTATTAGCCGGAAGGAAAATTCGAGACAGCAGCAGCAGCAGCAGCCGAGATGCTTTGGGTGTAGCCGCGCCAAAGTTTGAGAACGCATCATGCGAACCATCGGCGAGTGAGCTCACTTGATATCTTTTTCACGCGATAGATGCCAAACGACACTGTTGGAACTTCTACGAGAGATTATTGCTTATTCGTTGACTCGGTGACTGTAATTTACTCTACTTTCGGAGCGATTTCCTTAGATTTGTTAACAGCGATCGAAATCGTGCTTACCTTTCACTTTTGATCGTTTATCAATTTAAAACCGCAACATGTGCAATAAATACACTGATTAATTGTACAGCTGTGAATTGCCTCCGAGTGTTGTATAATTTACGTGGCACTGTCAGCTCATCGATTTTTTTGCGTGGTCGCATAAGCGACGTCGGAGAAAAATTTATTTTTCAGTTATCCTCTGGCGATTACTATTTCGTTACAGTTCAACGAGCGAATCAAGCATCGCACCCAAATATTACAATTTGACTACAAATTAGTAGTAAATGAATCACCTACACGCCTAAAAATACTCAAAACGCTTACCAAAATCAAAGAAAACATTCGGTTCGCAAGTATTTATGAGAATACACTATTGATTTGCTCCTAAATCAGTGACATCAAAGAGGAAAGGATAAGTGATGAGTCCTCGGTATCCGTCTGGCGTAATTCTCGCGACGTTTTTGGAAATAGACGAGGCGATATTTTTGGTAAGATGTGATCGTCATTGCGAACCGGGAAATATTGTAAACAGTTCGAGTTAATGGATCGTTGCGTGGGTGTCGAAGGTCGTAGAATATTCGTGACACAGCATCCGAGTTTATAATCCTTGATCGCACTTGTATCGCGTAATCCACTTATAATGGCGTGCCACGTAAGACGTGAGCGCCTTTTTTTTCAATCTGCCATGTCATCCACGGTTCTTATAGGGGATTACGAATAATTATGTTTTATTCACACGATTTGAGTAAGTTGCACTCGTGAAAACTGTTTATTCCGGCGTGAACATTCGATTGACAAAAGAATGACGCGAGAATAGGATTGAGAACACAGTCTAAGCACTGTAAGCTAATTAAGCTGCTAAAAAAATTTGTGCATTGCTGAAAGTGAAATTTGTCATTTAAAACGCATGCCGCGCATCACGAAGAGAAGAGAACAATGGCGCGCTCCACATCAAAAGTTGAAGAGGCCCATATAAAGTCTGCGCCGCCGAGTGTATTACAAGCCTGACGCGTCGCTCGGATCTTTCTCTCGTCTTGTAAGAGGCATATAACAGCTCGCACTCTGACGTCAGGGCGCTTTCTGTAACTGCTTCAAGTTCTCCCACGCGCGCCATCACGGCATGGAGTATGAGCGAGCGATCGAAAAAAAAAACGTTCGAAAGTTTCTCGACTCTTTTGGAAGGTGTGCCGCCGCCGTCGTTGTATTTTTGGCCCGAGGCGCGTATTACAACTGCCGTTTCGTGAAATCGCCCGATTGTTTCTCACGCCCACATTTCAATAATTAGATTTAGAATGGATCGCGATGCTAATAAATATTTAATAGTGTTGTAATATCGCGAAATTGAAATTCGATCGGTGTCAGGCATACGTCAATTTTCATTGCGCTCATTGTTACAGTCAATTGCATTATTGGTCCCACTCCGTCAACGCCACTATCTATCCAAAGTCAGTGTACGCGGTGATCGAAAAATAAGAAGCATCATACGCACGCACACAAGTCCGACGTGAGCGGTCGACGCTGACGTGAGCCCAATATCTCATAGGCATATTTTCTTATGCGAGAGATGATTGATTCCGCCTGCAACAATTAACAATGATCGGCAACTCGACACTATGTCATCAATCAATACGATCATCATTCGAATGAAGCTTGCGAGCTATGGCAGTGCTGAAAAAGTTTCCTCGCTCGTTCATTCGTCGTTTTGTCTTTTCTGGATCTGCGCCACGGCAAACGGGGGCAACTTTACCGATTCCCAAGTTTGAAATTACAACTTCAGGTACGTACGCACGAGCTCGGCACTGACACACTTTTACGAGATGCATTTAAAGCACTGAGTAATTAGTAAGCTTGTTCGAATGCGAACATAAGACACTTTCATTTTCTCTTTGGCCGTGCGTGTGAAACAACATTTTGTCGGTGCGTAACGTCGAATTGATACGCTATTGATGCGACGCGTGGCTATCATAATTACAAGAGAATAACAAACGTATTTTTATCATTAGCACGCGGCATTTGGATACCTTGGAAAAACGATGGATAAGGTCACGATTCTCGATATTCATTAAGGATTACTAATTGAGCGACAAAAGGTATTGCGATATTCGATCTTGAGATACAAATATTATGTCTTTCGAAACGTCGGTGGCTTGTCAATCCAGGCGAACGCGGAAAAGACGAAAAAATCAATTGACAATGTTGTTTGCAATGAAAACATCGTAAAAACTAAATTATCCTATTCGCACACGCACGGTACATAGATCGCGACATTGAGCAATCCGAAAAATCGTGCCCGGAATGGTATACCAGGGCCTCTGTCATGCCAGAGTGTCACACGCTCATTGACGACGCACTGTGAGGATTAGCGGAAGTCTTCGCCGGGGCTTGGCGTGAGCGCGCTTTTCGCGTCGCGATGAGTCATTCTATTATGCGAAGGATCGAGATTCGTCGATTCTTTCGCTTCGGAAGTTTCGTCGATAATTCTTCTAAATATCGATTTCAACGCTCCTCAAGATCATCCAGCATCGACGAAAAATTGTACACCCGCAAAATAAGAAAAAAAAACACAATGGCTTCAATTGTCCTTTTCAATTGACCAGTCACGCACTGATATTAATACGATGCGTGGGACTTTCATATAGGTCTACTTCCTTCCTACTTCGAATGCCGCATTTCTATTTTGGGTTTTCATCACGCTACTGGATTCAGACACTCGATTCATTGTTATCAGCCCCCGTATGTGCTCCATTTACGTAAATATTTAAAGCGAGTTGACAATTTGATTGATCGCGGCTAGTTTGAAAACCATCCGTGTCATTTGATCCAGTTGATGCTCGTAGATCTCAACGCGTCCGCTAAAAATGTGCACTGATCCGCCCTCTCGAAGCAATCAACATTCATCGCGCATGTCACTAAATCTACAATTTAAGCTTCGAACAAGAAAAAGAGCATTAAGTGCTGCATGTGTAACGAGGACTGTAAATGCGTTGCAGGAAGTTATCACAGTGCAGCTCATGGGCGGCTGTCTATGGCTTTTTGAAACACTAATTATCCAATTAATAAGCCGCGAGCGTATCCGGTCAGCCGTCGAGTACGTACATATGGGGTTTGTCGAACTGGATGTATACTCGTTCGCAGGCAACTTTGCCGGATCGTTATTCAACTTGATTATTGATATAATGTCTGTAACGTGGCTTTCGCATTGCCTGTGCTATATAGATCGCTTACTTCCTGCCAATAACATGTAAACGGCTTTCTTCACTGTTAAGTTGACTTTATAACAATTTCATCGATGAATTTTATTTGAATGCTTATGTTATATATGATTTCATTTATTACAACATAAAATAAATAAGGTATTACATAAACTTACTAAGATTTATTCGATAGGTTATAATTAAAAAAAATAATTTACCTGTCAATCATGGTATTTAAGTAATGACGATTAATGTTTATCCTTCGTTCATTAATTCAAAACTTTCCAAGATGAATAAAAATAAAAATTATATGTATTTAATACAAAATCCGCAAAAAAACATTATGGCTGAATTGACGCAAAACCACATCGCTTTCTCGCCTTAAACGATCGCGCGGCATTATGCTTCCCAAGTATAAAGAGAAGAAACGGAGTTATATGCATTACCTCGAACACAAAAGATAAAAAAAAAAAAAAAACGAAATCCTTACTGCATTTGCATTGCAATGAAGTCTCGTGAGCGAGTTTGCGTTGGTTACGAAATCAGCCGTGTCAAAGTATAAGCAGCTTTGAGCTTTTTCGGCACACAACGCGTGGATGCGCTTACGCTGCAGCGCGTTTAGTCATCGTTCCATTTTCGCGTGCATCACGAAGAAAAATCTGCTTTTTTTCGTTGCTCTCCGGAGATTATAAATAACGATTTCGCAGATACCTTTTGCTGCATCGTAATGCCATCAGCGGAAATAGAACGTATAAGCGCGCACTCGGGGACGTGCTGTTGTGCTATTCATGGGTAATTTTTGTGTCTAATGACTTCGCGTGCCTAATACTGCGCGGCTATATTTCTGTATAATCAGTTTTATTTTCGGACGCGTGATACACATTTGTGTAATTTTATGTGTGCGAGACATCCACTAATTTTAACTTTTCGAGTCATTGCAATATAACGAAGAGCTGGATCGCTTTAAAAAGAAATAGCAAGATACGAAAAAAAGAGATTGTCCAAGAGGAATACGTACAGCAGCTGCTATTCTCCACCTGTTTGCTTTTTGTAGTGTTCGACCGATCTTTTTCATTTCACCTTTCGAAAGTTTTTTGCAAATGTGCTTTTATTTAATTACACAACGAACAGCAGTTAAAACTGAAATGCTTTTATTTAATTACTCGAGGAGGAATAATTAAAACTGATATGCGGCAGATGCTTGCGATAATGAAAAGCTGATCGAAAGCGTCTACTCGGCTTTTCATCACTACGAAACTTTCGCAAAAGTGTACTCGTGAGGCGAGTGATCAGTTAAAAATCGATTAAAACTCTTCAACGGTCTTGATTTGGCCTGACTCGAGACGTATATGCGCGATCTACTTTAAATTTAATGCGATCAGATCGAGTGACGTCAATTAAAATGAAAAAGAATCCGCTTTCATCTCAATCTACGTGTACGAGTATATCGATGCACAGAACGTTAACACAGTTAATAATGTCAATTAGGGTGCTGAAAGCCCAGTGAAAATTATGGCCAATAAATATTACAATGGACGCTAGTCACGAGTATAATTGGGAAAGCGCTTTCCGTAAAAATTGGATCATCCGTCCCGCGAACGTGATAATCGGGCATCGCTGTCCAACAGAATGTAGCCACGAACAAAAACTTTGGAAGAAAAAAAGCGTCTCTAGCGCGCATGTGTGTCTTGAATAACGTTCGTGAACGTTCGCTTCTGGGTGGCGTAGTCAGCCGAAGGTCCCCGAAGTAGTGGCGGCGTTAGCAAGCCACACTCGCTGTGCGCTCCGGTGTCTCCGTCGCGCACGTCAGCGCTTATTTAAGGGGCCGCTGCCGGCAAGTCGCGCTCATTCTTACACGAGTTGCCGTGACGAGAACAGCGTTCTTAGTTTTTTTTTCTTGTGGGTGAATTATTATTCCTTGTTGGTGCGTCAACTTGACACGTGTCCAGTGCCCGCGGGATCATTGACACACTCGCGCAGATACTCAGAGCCGACGTACCGAGAAAAACATGGCGGACAGCGGAATCAAGCGCAACATTCCCATCAAATTGGGCGACTTCAGCGTGATCGACAGCGAGTTCTCCAACATCCGCGAGCGCTTCGACGCCGAAATGAAGAAGATGGAGGACGAGATGTCGCGGTTCCGAAGCGAACTTATGAACCGCGAGAGCAACTTCTTCAAGAGCACCACCAGGTATGCGTCTTATTCTTCTACTTTTCTTTTTCTGTTTTCTTTTTTTTTTCTTTCTCTCGTCCTTCTTTGCCGCCTACACTTTGCCTGCTCGCCGTGTGTCTTGTGTGAATCGATTTTTACTCAACGCCAATTCGAAAACTCCAACGAGCGAGAAACAGGAACTGTTTGAATTGCTGTGACCGGCATGTGTGGGATAGCTAATTGCCAATCGTATTGTATTCTGGTTGCCTATACGCTTAGCTCTATGCGGCTGGAAATATACTGTTTGATGAAGAGTAGGCGATGGAAAAAACCAAAAAAGAAAAATATATATATATATATATATCGTGCTTGAGTGTTCGTTTGTCGGTTCTCACCTCGTTTATCAATTTCAAAAATTTGAATTGAAAACTAAAATTGTTCAAATTACAACAAGCGATCTAGCTGTACTCGACTTATCAACAAATTCACGTACAAACCAGCGTTGAAAAGCAAAAAGAACACCTGTCGTCATCAAGCAACAAGTTGACCTCTTATCACACTGCTGTCTTCTTTCTTTTCAATCTCAAGTAGACACACTTACACGCGCGCGCGCGCTTCAAAGAAGTACGTACATACGTGGGAGGTTGCGCAATGGTTTTTTTTTCTTTCCACGTAGGCGACTCTGTGGCTTTTCATTTCATTCTAATTGCTCGGAACTGATTTTTGTGGCCATTTATAATTGAATTAATGCAAGCACGTAGAGATTGTATTCTGTTTTTAAATTCACTGGATAAACCTTACTTACGTGCTTGCATAATGATTAGCGGATCGTGAGCTTACATTACAATTCTCACTACTTATCTCGAATAACTTTTTTTCGCATAAGATAACAAATGTAGTTGCAAGCATAATTAATGACGACCTTCACAACATAAACAATAAGTGCTCGAGAATTCGAGAATTGATCATCGATCAAGACACCTATGCCTAACTGGCGCCGAAAATGCAAATGACGAAAGTGCTCAGCGAAGAAGGTGAGGCGATGACTCATACTGAAAATTTTCAACAAGACCTTGGCCCGCCTCTATCAAGAAAGAGATTCGTTTGTAATTCTAGAATGTATGTATTCGCGATGATGACGATGCATCGTTGCATACGCAAAAAAGAAAAAAAAACGTAGTTATGTTGTAATTAACGTCTTTTTCTAACGGTCAGTTTGCGCATTAGGTCATCTGCTATTCCCGGACGAACGAAAAACAGCTGCGGCAGCTTTTCGTGTTTATAGGGCGAGGGAGGCTATCTGCGCGCTGCTTCCATCTTCGTTGTTTTCCGAGATCAGATAGGAAGCAGAAAAATCAATGTCGCCTCGTGGCTGATCGACCGGCTAGACGCCGAAGGCCGAGGAAATCCCCGAAAATAAAAAGAAAACACGAGTACACACACGTGGGTCGCCAATGACGCAACTTATCGTCGCCATTAACGTCGCGAAGAAGCTCCTATATGTTTGACGCGCGATTGTTCTATATAGATGCAAAACCAGCTAGTTTTTCCCCTCCATCAGGCTGCTTCTCTCTTATAGTTTGCTACCGCGCTCGAGTTGATGGCTAGCCGCGCAGTCGTAGATTTGTCCAGCATCGTCGTCGCGCCGCTTTTCCGTGAAAACCCATCCGCTGATCGGCAATGGTTGACTTTAGTCAAACATTCTCCAAGCTTACGGGTAATAAGCTCCTCGACGAGAAGTTGTATCCACCCAGGCATAAGACCGTAATCAAGTATAGGTAAGTCGCTGTCATTCGCGAGCTTTCAAGTATCATTACCGCGTGCTCTTTAGCTTCGACATCCGTAAATGCACCTCACCAAATCATTAATTTCCACTTATACCGGTCACTCGATCAAAGATTAATGTCTTTCGTGAAATTCCATCCTACGTCTGTCGATTTATCCAGCCACTTGGCGTGCACGCCAATCAAAGCTATTAATTGCACATGCTCATTGTGAGCGCATCACAAAAGAATGTCAGGTGTGCGTATACGTGTACTCCCATAGATGCAGCAAGATTTGATCGATCGCGAACTTCCGCGAAGAGTGGCCGCAGCCGCAGGTGTCGTCGCGCGCGGAAAGAAAAGAAAAAAAATTGCTCGCCAATTAAATTGTCCCCGCACCTATCGTGTCGCGCGTGTGTAATCCGACTCTGGTTTGTGTGCGTGTACGTGGCGCATCGAGGAAAACATATATGTATTTCCAGCGTTATGCAATGGCATCGCACGTGGAGCGCGTCGCTTTTATTTCATGTTCGCGGTGGTTTTATCGTCATTTACGACAGCGCAGCGGATCAATTGTAATCGGAGGCTCGACGACGCTTGCCGATTAGAGCCCAGCTCGTTTGCATATTGTTTCAACTGATCTGCATGCTTGATCTTCTTTTAAGTTCGTTAAAGTCGCTCGTTTCGAATTCGATTAAAAGCAGCCGTTATGCAAACGAAACATTTTCTTTTTTTTTTTTTTTTTATTCACAATTGCACGACACATTAGCAAATGTATCGATGGCTCGGGAACGTGCAACGAAAGCAAAATGAAAAGAGCAAGGCTGCGAAAATCAGAGGGTGCGATTCGAGAATTGGTAATCGGAGAGGTTGATCGAGACGGTAAAAGGGCTAAGAGCTCGCGTGCCGCAGATGAATTACGTTATCAGAGGAGCCAAAAGCTCCGCTCTCCTCTTGACCTTACAACTCGAATTAAAAGCGGACACGCTCGATTGAACTTGAGTGTGTGCACACACTAATACTTGGCGTGCGAGGTATAATTAAATTTTCTAATTCCACTGGCCAAAGTTATTCTCGGCACTCGCTCGAGAGGGAGCGAGAGGAACGCAAAGCGTTTCTGGGTCGATTGGTTGTCTGTCGACATTTCTTTCCTCTCTCGTCTATTAATATGGGCCAGTGGATTCGAGTCTGGCAATCGAACACGAAAAAGAGTGCGAGGTGAGAATGTTAATTGCAATGGGAATCAGCAATTCAAACGCCTTCTCGAAAAGCGAGCACGTTAACTGCGAACAACTCGCGGGCATTCCGAGCGTCGCCGGGATACGCCATTGAATGTTACATTAAATTGCCGTGTGCAATACCAACTCGCTTCGGTCACATTTAACGTTTGGCATTACATTTTATTTCCGAGTTTTGTTTACAAGCCAGTTAACCCTGACGCGACGATCGACACTGGGCCGCTCGACGCTGGCGACCTTTTAAATTGCCAACATACCAATCATTCGGCGGCTGTCGCTGCTGCTGCTGCAGATCGACACAAGTTCGACGACCTCCCGACGACGGCAAAGGAGGATGATCGAACTTCCGGTTTTCGAGCCCGCGAGGCTTCGGGATTTCGACACGCAAAATATTTATTTGCTCTCGCTCTCAGTGTCGCGCGCACGCGCTTCTGTATACGCAATTACTTGGTGGATTTGTACACGCGCGAGCGTTTTGTACACGACTCTTACTCGTTCGTTTCACTTTATTTGTTTCCGATTTGACGTTTCGAGAAAACTAATTTTCTGGTTGTCTAAACGACGTCGCGTATGCAAAGCAAGGACGCGAGAGAAAGATAGCCGCCTTGAACGGTTGTGTACTGTATATATTCACATTGATGCAAACACTCCAACGAATTACTTACCTTGTGTTTATACATTATAATGCGTATGTACAGTAGTTCATATAGACGATGGCAAGGTAGACAATTCGTTGATAATTGAGAGCCAACGCTTGTCTCTAGGCAGTGGCTTGTCCCCTAGCGACAGGCCACAGCTCTCTCTTATAGCGCATGACAGATTTTCCGAAATGACAACTAATCAATGAACAATCGTAACGCACGCGCAATTTTTGGGATTGTGCGACTTTGGCCTAAACTGTCTGTCTCCTCCCTACTGCACACTAACTCGCTCTGTAAAAAAACTTGAAATAACCAAGTCGCCATCATTCGACGAGCAGCGAGCATCGAACGACATCGACAAGTAGTAGCTCGAAGACAGAAAGTTGGGAGGACGACGGGAGCGGAGATAAGCCACATATGAAGTCTGCCTTCGACAATTTCAAAAGGTGACGAATAAATATGCCTGATGCCCACCACCATCCAACGCAATTTATCTGGTCCACAATAGCTTCTTTTTTTTTTTTTTCTTTTTTTATTCATTCGCTCGCACGCATCTATTAGCTGCGCTAGCTCCCTTCATCTTTAGTTGCGACATTGTATTCCGTTGAGAGGCCTTCTTGTGACTCTCATAGCCACTTCATGTTACTTGTCTACGTAATTTTCACCTACGATGATCGTCTGAAGTTGATGCCTTGTTGCAGCACGACGACGCAACACTCGAGCAACCAAAACCAGAGCTCGCTCAGTCCTCATCACGACAACAACGCTTGGTTGGATGGCCTCAATAGTCCATTGATCCAGGATGAGGGTGACAACAAAATGCTCAAGCTTCGGTTCGACGTGTCGCAGTACACACCCGAGGAGATCGTCGTCAAGACCGTCGACAACAAGCTTCTCGTGAGTATTTCCAGATATCCTGACGCGCAAATTAGGTCACGCCGGTGCCTACACTATTACGCAACTCTGGCAGACGTTGCGATTATAATTTCAACGAGTAAGGGCAGTTGTTGGGTAATAGCTGGATTGGCTTTTTATCCGTTCTCTTGTCTTTCAACAAGCGGCTATATTGTTGCGTTCGTTTCACAAATAAGAGATATAGACAATATTTTTTTTCTAATTTCGAACGATGACGAGTGCATCTCTTTTGTGCGTTAGAAAATGAGAAGTGGAGAATGATGTTATAGCTGCGAGTGCCGATGCAAACTCTGTAAAGCTACTTCAGTTGTTTCGTTGATCTTGAACGACGTTACGTGACAAACTAAGAAATACGCACATCGCCGACAAATGCAAAGTTATACTTCCTCCGAGATTTCTTTTTTTTATTTTTGGGAATCTTAGAAAAGAAAGAACGTATCGTTGATTCGCGCAACAATAAAATCATCTGGAATTGCAAGCTCAGGCTTTGAAAATTTTCGAGAACGCGCACGAATTATCGAGGACTCCATGCGAGAGAATGTCGGCCCACGTCTGAAATAACCGTGCTCCAAAAATAAAATAAAAGCTCGCTTGCTTGCCGCCCGTCGACGCCAACTGCGGAACGTAATGTTGGTCCATTGTCGAGAATTTTGCTTTTTATTTTTTCTTCCCTTTTCACTTTTGTAAGCTGCTGTGATTTCCAAAGAGTTTGGGATGATTGACGCAAATTGAAATTACGTAACGTGTGTTGTCCGTGATGAAATCCTCCTACACCCGTGGATATTTCAGTTCTTCTGAAAGTGCGTTTGCATAGGAAGATGTCAATCTCGACTCTTGTAATGCTTTTGTGATTTTGTCAAAATATTCGCTCGCGAAAAGAACGAAAGTGATCGCGTTACGCTGACCCTCTTCGGAAGTGTTCCCCCGGTTCTCGGCGCGATACCCCGTCGGAAATATCTCTCCGGGGATCGTGCCCATTTGATTGTTATTTACAGTGACAAAAGGAAAATAAACTATCCTGCCATCAATTGCACCGAGCTGTAACGTTTCCAGGCCAATGGCCGATAGTTATCATTGGGAAAACGCGACTCGACGACGAGCCCGAAGCTCGCCATTAATATAAAAGAAAGTGCGGCGGTAAGAGAATAGCTGAGCAAACAATACGATCGATTGATTAACGATTATGCACACAAACCGCCGTGGCTTGGCGAAAACGAGGTTACAAAGAAGCCGCAGCACGGGTCGTTATTCTTCAATTAGCGTGCTTACAATCCGTCTCTCACGACGGACTACACTTTTCCAAAACGAACATGCCCGTGGAGCCTTCAGGCTTGATGCATAAGCTCTGTTTACGGGCGTGCGCGCGCTATAAAGTGCAATGTGGTCAAGGTTCGGTCGAGACGCGACTCGGTCCTTTTAAAGGGCGAGAGAGAGAGAGAGAGAGAGGGACAGAGATGTCGAGGACGCGAGCGAGCGAGGGAGTCGCTGACTGTTGAAAAGTCTTGCGTCATCGGCAGTCGACATCGCGTACCGGCGCCTTGCGTCTCTTCCCCTCCACGCCGCGCACGGGTATTTTTAGGATTCCCTTTCGTCAAGCCGCTTTGTTCGCGCATCCAAAAAGTAGTAATTCGTACCAGCGGACGACCAATCATCGCGAAAGTTTCTTACGAGGCGCGAGTGTGGGTGGATGCGCAGCCGATGTGCTCAAATTTGATTGGCGGTCCCCGCCGCAGTGCGTTGGATTTTTGCATGGTTCATTTCTCATGGGGATGTCGGGCACGCCGGATCTTCGTGAAAAAGGGAGGGGCGGAGGGGCGAATCGACGAAGTTTTGCAAGCCGAGTAAGACGATCGTCGTTATGTGGTTGGGATTACATTTTTACGGAGCGCCGTCTAAGGTTACTCGGATTTTTTTGCACACGCGAAACAGCGAGAAAGAGAGAGAGAGAGAGATAGATCGATGTACTTTTCGCTCTGATTGTCCTGTGACGGATATACATTTGTACTTGGTATAGAACAGCTGCAAGTTTTCCAAATTCCAGTTAAATCTAGATATTTGCGGCACGTATCCATTGTTTAGGGCGAAAACGAAGCAATTTTTGTTGTGGTTTTCGCGCACGCGTCGTGCGTTATATTGCGATATAGGCTTTCGGCAGGCAGATGAAGGGTCTGCTTGTAACGCGAAAACGTTTGCCGTTCGCCAAGTTGTTTTTTTGCTGAGTAAATGCTTCGGTTTTTCGCACGTCTCAAACATTCCTTCAGTTAGTAGATCGCTGCGTGTCTCATGAGCGTCAAATCACAGAGCAAATAAAGCGCAGGCATCTCTCGAAACTGTACAGTGCGCGTGCGACGTTCCTCGCGAATATCTCGTGCATACTTTTCGACTATGTCAGAACACGGCATAGCAGAAATGGCGACCGATAAAAGAAAACATATTGGGGCGCCAAGTTTCAAGCCTGTACACTGTTCCGCTACACCAGCGCGAACATCGTCCGTTTCGTTAGCGCTTTATTCGTAATGCAATTAGGATCGCGTGCCGCTCGAGTTGAACTACAGTCTTGTGTGTGCGTGAGTCTGGGTAAGTATGCTCTGATTTTTAGGGCACGTCGCGTTGTTCAAGGGTGTTTCGAAGGGATCGGTTGATTTTTCCGTAGTTTTTTTCCTTTATAAGATACGCGTAATAATTCTAAAAACTAATTCAACATATTGTCTTTCAAACGTTTGGCTGTTTAATGGCACACAAGACTTGAAAAATTCATTAGGCGAAAAACACTTGACCCTCGCACCGTTTACTCTTGAAAACAAGGCAAAGCCTTAACACCAAACTCGAAAGGAAATAGCTCCAGTAGGTAAATCTCTTTTTCAATGCTGGCGAAAAAAAAGAAGAAATCGCAAACACAGCCGCGCACAGGCACGCACGTCTTTATTAGATGCGGCTGGTCAAGGCTCCGATGTCTAAACGCGTCGATGATGATGAAGATGTGCCGGTAGCAAATCCGTTGTACACATATGCCGATGAATTTGGCTTGAGTCGTTACAAATGGTAATTCGCTCGATCGCGAGGTTATAGAGACTCGATTCGACTTAGATTAAAGTTTGTTACCTCACGCTAATCAATCCACTTCAAGATGTGACTCATGGCACTGAAGGTAACGCAGCCACGTGCGATTTGAATATCTAAGGCGCCGATCTCACGATGCAGATCAAGCTTTCCGAGGGTACGATAATGTGCGTGCTCCGCAATCTTCAAGGAGTTAAGCGTGATTTACGCGTGTGAGGACAGAAAAAAAACCGATATCTACATAGAAATATACGTGGTACGGATCGATCGGACGGGCGCCGGGCGCGGCATTTTCATCCAGTACGCCATCTCTCCACGTTGTATATACTCGCGAGGAGGCGCGCGGAGTGACCCAGTTTGCTACTCAGTAGCGCGCCAAGGAACTCACGCGCGAATTATAACCCTTTGTCAAGCCCTTTTGTGTCCTCTACCGACATATAATTTTCTGGGTATCGCGATATAAATGAGGCTTTATAGTGCTTTGAAAATTGTCCGTAACGATCGTCGTAAAAATCAATCGTGTTCTTCGTTCTTCGCTGTATTCCTTGCGTAACTACGTAGCTGAGACCAACCGATGCGCAGAATACGTCATTTTCACTAATTTGAAAGAACATTTCTTCTCCGACTCGCTTACTCGCATACGCTCTGTTACAGGCTTGTCACCTGTGTAAACACTACAATGTATATGTATATGATCAGCAATTAGCGCTTTGGAATTGCGAAAATTCACAAAGAGAAAAGTGCCAAAAATATTATTTTCGGCTGTGTATGATAAAATCGCAACCCTTTGTTTACGACGAGTATTAAGGAAAGAATTCCTACGAAACGTTCCTTATTAGAGAAGCCGAGCAAGATGAGTCACGGTATATATAGCAGTAGCATAAGTAGTACCTAACGGGGGTGTTGCGGGCGTACGTGACTTGACGCATCTGGGTCGATTCGTCGCTCGTGAGAGCTGCTTTCTATAAAGGTGCTGACGCGGTTTCGAGCACGCGACTATGAAATTTCTTTGCGAGTATCGATCTGCTTGCGTATAATTATTTTGTCAAATTATACGGATCTTTCTTCCCGATTCGATGCTCAATTTCGAAATTCACTGTACGCATCGTGTACGAACATAAGTTATAGGTTTCGATTGGCTTTCTTTGCAGGTACACGCGAAGCACGAGGAAAAGTCAGACACAAAGTCTGTCTACAGGGAATACAACCGTGAATTCCTGCTGCCCAAAGGCACGAATCCCGAGACCATCAAGTCGTCGCTGAGCAAAGACGGCGTTCTCACCGTCGAGGCACCACTTCCAGCTCTCGGCGCTGGCGAGAAGCTTATCCCCATCGCGCATCACTGAAGATATCCATCTAATCAGTGAACAAAACAATATCGCTTTAAATATTACCAACAAAAACACGCAACCTATCGAACGTTAGGTTTCCACATTATTTCTTTTTTTATATAACGTCCATTACTATTAATGTATTATTGTAATTGTAATTTTTTTTTAATTCAAAACCATTTTTCGCATCTCTCGGGTGCCACGCGTATAAAAATGCGATTAACTCGATCAACAGCATATTGTATGTAGAATTTGGACAGTTTCAAATAGAAGAAAACTCGGCCTATACACATGTCGTCGTCAGTGTACAAGCTGCTTTATTTTTGCACGCCTAAAATAAAAAAAAAACAACAATGCTAACTCTGTCTATTTGTGCCTTTGCGACAATTTCTCGACAAACACTGTTGTAATTTAACTTTCTTATAGAGCTGCGAGCCAAAATTTTTCGTACATTGCCGAAAGCTTTCTGACTTTCTTATTTTTTCGTCGAATTTAGTGACATAAAATCAGTATATAACAACAATGCAAATGTAAAATGCCTAACGTACAATTGTGGAGCGTTCAAAAGAAAAAAAAGCTTAATTTCTTTTCTATTTTATTGATTGAGGAAGGGGAGATTGAAATTGATAACGGAGAAATTGTCGGTTATCGTATATAACTTATATACGTGTTAGTTTAGGTGTATATCGTTAAAAGACTAAAAAAATAAAGAAAACACAAAAATGCCTAGCATGTGTAAGCATTATAATATATTATTAATATTATTTATGAATATTTTAATATTTTCGACAAACTACATAGAAGAAGAAAAGAAAGACATTTAAAAGTTAATAAATAATTGACAAAAAATCAAATTTTGTGCTTGGAATTAGTTTTTTTATTCATTTCTCCTGCTAACATTACCATTAACTGATATAAAGCTAAATCAAAACGCAGTTTCTTATATCAAATATACACGAAAACTAATAATTATAAAAAGCTTATAAAAATTTAAGAAAGGAAAAAACTTAACTAAAAATACTGAACATTATATATATACCGCTTAGGCTTTCTCGTGGCCAAAAGTAGCCCCGAAACTCGGTAATTTCTCTTCAGTTTTCACCGCTTCTTTGTACTTGACAGCATAAGAGTCCATGGCATCGAAGAAGTTGCGATGAGAATCGAGCAACTGATACTGTTGTTTCTGAATGTCTGCGGAGGCACCGCCCTTGCCACCCATTTCGTTTGGTAACATCGAAAGCTCAATTCCTGTTGCTGCCATTAAACTTTCAATGTTAGAATGAAAAGTTATCTGCAACGGATAAAAATATCTATAAATATTAATGCATTTCTATGTATATGCAAATATTCTAAAATCCGTGTATGAACGTACCACGTCTGACAACTGATTGTCAGCGATTCCAACTTTGACGAACTTCTCAAATTCTTTGTTAGCAGGACCGGTATTGATGAAATGAGCTCCAAACCATCTCAGCGGTGCACCTCTATGATAGTACGCGTAAATTCCTTTCAGCTTGTTCCAGTCCAGAGCTCCTTTGTGTGCAATAGTCGCGCCGTTGAGATCAAACACGAAGACGTACTTGTTATCCGGACCATCGTCGTAGATGCCTGCATCTAAGACCATATTGAAGACATTGACGGTTGTGTCAAAGTCACCTTTGCTTGGATCAGCTTCCATTATTAGTCTCTCCATTATCACTTTTTTGTTATCTTTGGTGCGCTTCGGGAGGTGAACCATAAATCTGTAAGCCGATTCGATAAGTCGAATTCCACGAAAAATTTCATTTAATTTTCAAGTGATTCAGTCTTGAAATATAGACTGGTTAAATTATCATGATCAGACTGATTAAATTGATGATGGCACTGTAAAATTAATTTATTTGAATTTACTACTCTGATCGTACATATATTATTTATCATTTGACAGTATTGTAAGTGAAAAAAGTACCTCCGATAATGACTAATGCAGAAAAAATATTAGTAACGTAATTTGATCTTAATTGAATAAATTCCCAATTAGTTAAGAGTATTACTTTATTCTTAACTAATTAATTGAATAAATTCCTAATTAGTTATGAGTATTACTTTACTAATTAAGGATTACTCAGGGAATTGATAGCAACGCCTACGCTCTATACTTTCGTTCTTGCAATTCAAAGTATACAGTAATGTCATTTAAAAACGAAAACAAATCGAGTTACGTCCACAAACATATCAACGATGGCGATTCGCTAATGGCTATTATACAATACTAATAAATTTGATTGATTCAATTTTTAAGTTTAAGGGTTAAGCCCCGTGATTCAAACGTTATGTTCCGAGAAAATTTATGAAGGATAATACAAACTTACGTAGCATTGAAAACTTGCTGCACAACATTCATTGGGATGTTTTTCCGGTTGGAGAAAAATTCAGGCAGGTAGTATCTCATGACAAAGTAATTTTCAATGTTCCTCTTCGTTGCTTCGAGATCATAAGAGTTGCTGATATAGAATAGCGTCAGATCGCTGTCTATCAATTTTGGTATGTGAGTTATTTGGTCGTTCCATTCCTTTAATTGGTCGATTGCCTTTTGATCGATGTCAGGATATAATTTCAATTGATCTTTCAACGGAACTTTGGTTATAGACATCGTTGCAGCTTTATGATATTTTAACGAAATTACGATACTGCAAATACTACACAGCTTATGAACGATAATAATTGACTTTTATCACAAATTGGTAAATGAAAACAATGATTTTTTAAGTTTTTTTTTCGCGAAAACTATGAACATAGAGAGTAAGTTCCTGGTAAAGGGTAGTGTTGAGCTTTTTTTCGTTTTCCAAGTTTGGCCAACCTGACTTACTATTGCCAACTTTTGCAACAGGTTGGTTGGATTATTCGCACTCGCAGCGTCTTTTTCGAAAATGCTGCTCTGCCTTACGCAGACTATATTTAGTAGTAAAAAATCACCAAGAAGACTTCGTGAACGATTGATACTAAGGGTAGTGCTTGTGCTAAGATTACATTGCCGACCGGGAAATGAATTTTTTACACAAACTAAACAGGTAGTGTAACATGGATATTTTTATTATTTCACAGCAATAATTCTTTTTTACAAAGGTAATAAGTTTTATCTGAATATTAATATCAATAAGCCATAATAAAATCAATTAATTCGTAAATTCACAAGAAAAAGAAACTTCAATCGTAAATGTAAAATAGTATAAACATATATTAATATAGTAATGTTCATTTAAAAATAACGAATTTGAATTTTATTGATCTAAAAAATATAAAGTTCATGGATTGTTCTATGTACATTTGTAACTGCCTAAAGAGGTAAACAAGTTATCTAGCTGTACATAGGCTAGATATATAGATACGAAGATATCTATCAATTAAATGAAGGCATTCTTGGGACCAAAGATCTTGAGAACGGATGAGATTTTCACAGCATTTTTCACCTTAACTTTACTATCCAAACTGACGAAAAAAACATGAAGAGATTCGAGGTCTGTCACTTGCTGTTTTGGTAACACTAATGTGGAATCAACTTCTGCAGTCACCTCTTCCGGCAGTATTAATCCTTCTATTCCTATGGTATTCATCAAACCTCATATGCACTGTTACAATTGTATCTGGTTGGCTATGATCCATAAGCTTTGCCAGGTCCACTTTATCATTGTCTTTCATAAATTGCGGTAAGCTCACGATGAAACTGTAATCAAAGAATGTTTATAATGATAGAAGTTTATTAATATATGCTGTTATTGAAAGGATTAACAAATTCTATATGACGTACTTGATTATATTGTTATTATCATACTTTTTATATAATTACGAACAAAAAAACAAACTTTCATCTTAAATTCATACGACTGTAGATCTTTGCGCTCAACGAAATATGTTGGCATGTAATGTTTTACGACTGAATAATTATTGATGTTTTTTTTATTGTATTCGTCTCACAAGATTGGTTGAGATTAAAGAGAGCCGAATTAAAACCATATAGTTCTGGAATTTTTCATTTCTTCAACACAACGATAGTTCGTTTATGAAGGCCCGAATTTGCACGTAATAGATCATTAAACGAAATCTGAGTTGATGACGGTCATCTTAAAATAAATCTCGTTGAACTTTCAGGTGTAGAATGATAGAATAACTTTCAAGAGAAATTATCGTTAAAAGTTCAACAATACATGTAACTTAACAATGCACTTATCGTAGGGCCGTGGTACTAATCTTTTCTATATACACATACAGCAAGGATAAGAGTTTTCCAGCGTCTTTCAAATACATACAGGTACTTTACCATATAGTATAAGTGCTTTCCACATATCTTCTCTATGAGAAATTCGCGAATAGTGAGAATAGAGAATTCAATATATTGGTTAACTATTCATTTTTCAAATTAAATTTTGTTAAAAATTGACCATTGAGTTATAGCATTTAAAAAATTGTTTGTATGTTTTGTCTTAACAATCGTAATTATTTATGTTGATTATACTATTGAATGTTTATCACGTTGGTTTGTATCTTATCTATCTAAGTAACATTTTAATAAACAATATTATAATCTAGAAATTATTCAACAAATTTAATTTATTCAACAAAATATTACTTCTTATTATATACGCCCATATGTAAAAATGCATTTACATTAAAATATCAGGTTTTTATTATCGTTAACTTGAATATAATCTTTGAATTAAGAATATATACAAATTCATCTTAGCCAAATAATGCTCGCAGTAAAAATAGTTCAAAAATCACGCTTGCAAAATATCTATCTGTCGTCTATGATACATTTCTCAAATGCTTCTTCAAAAAACTTATTTACAATATTTTTTACATGATTCAATGTTTAATCAAGTAGAAAAATTATCTTAACAAACATTAGTTTATATCTTAATAAAATTACAAAATAATTATTGTTGTAGATTTCGTATCATTTCTTTAGGTTAGGTACATTATGGTTTTATTTGAAAATATTTTTGTGAAAATAATATATATTAAACAGTTGGTATTTCAGCTGAAAACAATGGAGCATCGTTTGAACTAAATGTAGGAGATTTTCCTTCTTTTGCTATTCTTAGAGCTTGAAAAATTGAAACAGTGTCAAGCTCTTTCTGATTGGGCTTTTCATTGTCAAGATAAATATCTGCAGCTCTTTTGCCAAATGGTTCTAAAACTTTAATTCTATAGTCAACAATGGTTGATACAGGATTTCCTGTTAGTCTTAAATTTTCTAAACAAGGAAGATGTCCGATATATTTTACTTCCTCTATATTTTCAATTCTGTTGCAGCTAACATCTAAACCTTCCAAACAGTACATTTTCGAAAAACTCGATAAAGAAGTTAGACAATTTCTTGATAAGTCAATAAAAACAATTTTTCCTAACTTTGTGTGAAGATTTTCAGGTAGAGATGTAAAACTATTTGATGCTAGATGAAGTTGAGATAATCTAGGTAATAAAGTAATATTTGATATTTTTTTAAGTTTGTTGTTATTTAAAATTAGAGATTCAATATGTGGCAATAATTTGATTGCTTCATCAATTTCTTCTATGCAATTGTCACTCAAATCTAAATGTGTAACTTTAAACCAAACATGACAATCACTAGCGGAACTAATATGTTTATGAACTTCTTCGCACATAGTTAATTCTATGATATTTTTAAGTTTTGTATTGTGTACTTTTAAAACTTTAACTGTATCTCGAAGATTGCCCATATTATAAATTTTATCAACTGGATAATTATAAACTGTAAAATTTTCTACATTTTTAAAAGTAGATAAATCAACTCTTAATGTGGTTGGATAGATATTACTTGTGCCATATGCTGCATCACTGCCATTGATACTAAGGTCTTTTAGGTGAGAATTAAAATCCAATACATGACTAAAATCATACTTCTTGTCTGTAACTTCTAGAGATGGACGAGGTTGTCTGAGTCTTTCACTGATTGCATATAGCTAAAAGAATAATTAATCATTATATACAAAATGTGCACTCAAAATAACATCAACACTACAATTTACCTGTACAACATCAAATGAAAAGTTCTTGGAATTTTGAAGTAGAGATTCCCCTTCAGTAAAGAACTGGTAAGCCAAACTTTGCAGTAAGAAAAATATTTCATAAATATGCAACTCCAAAAAGATAGCTAATGATCTTGGCATAATTTTCTTCAAGTAAACATAAACTGCATTCAAATAATTCTCCAAAGCTATACGTCTTTTTTCAACAAAAATTTCAGACTTATTTCCAATAAGCTTTTTTGGTGGCAGTATGTCTTTCTCAACACAATGATCTGATACTAAAGTGTCGTGGAGTTCTGCAAACTCGCTATACCTGAGCATATTTAATAAGATAATTATTTAAAATCCTAGTTTCAAAATTGTTATAGATAGCGATACATAATTTTTTAAAATTAATAAACTTGATACTTCAAGTACAAAGAAACCTAACAGATGCTTTAAGAAGAAAGTCATTTACCTGTGTTTGACAGTCCATTTAACTGAACCAACGTTAACCTGTACAGTATAATAAGTAACACCATCATTTATTTCATAAGATGGAATGTTGAGTTGAACATCCTCTTGATTCAGGAGAAAGCAAGCCATTGTAATAGTTACAAAGATGAATATCTAGAAAAACAAATGTGAAGCCGTCGTCAAGAGGTTAATCTCATGTGAAATTACTTTTTTGATCAATATAAGGGATGCTATTTACGCCAGTTCATTATACAATCGATGCATCGCCTTGTATGAATGTGTGGACATTGTCAAAATTGCTTGGTAGTAAAATTAATCTTGGTTAGATTTTCTGCTTTTATTTTTCGTGTTATCAACGTAGCAGAAGAGAGATTTAGGCTATATCCACTATCTCACTAACAGTTTGCAAAACATCACCATCTTGCTATTTCGAAATTAACCATTGAAAAGACACCGTGCACATCCTTTATAAAGTGGTAGAGATAACTAAAACGGCCTGCCGTTTGCACTTTAATTATCAGAGTGAGTCGACGCCTACTTCTTTTCTTTGTATTAATACGTGTAATCCATAACGGAAAATACATGAACCTTACTAAACGTTGATAAGTTGATGAGGCATTGAGCGATACTTGCTTCGACACTTTGATTTGCTTGCGTGAGTAATAAATATTGTCGTTTTTCCTTTTTGCTTGAGGTTTTTCATCTGGAATCGATGACCGAATGTTTTTGTGAAGTTTATAAATTTATATAAAATAATGCAGGATGTGTTGACTGTTGAGTGGCGGACTCTGAAGTCGATAAAAAAGATACCGATAGTGTGCATTTTTTTAAATATATGAAATGAGCTAATATAAATACATGAACATTGTATTCATTACTTTCGAATAATCGATGTTAATTTAAAATACTACTTGAATATTATACCAACTTGAAGTTGATCAGTTTGAAGAAAAAAGACTTGTTTGCTTTTGGTAAGAATTTAATTGGTACTTTCAAATTCGGTTCATAATCGAGGGTTCATATAATAAAACTTCAGTGTAAAAATGAGAGCGCAGTATATTTTCTATATACTCTTATTACATCTATTCAGTATTTTCCAGAAAATTGATATTTTAAACGTTTCGTTTTCCGCCGATTTAGTTGGCAAATGTCAGAGAAAATACTTGATCAGCACAAAATATAACGTTAAAAGTTAAATTATGGTTAAGGTGACAGTCAAAATAATAACCAGAAAGTATATTTTTTTATTTATTTATTATTTTCATTTTTAACGCTGTCTTTATAGACATTACCTATATCTTTCAGTGTATTTGATAGAACCAAGAAAATTGACGATCATTTCTGCATTTACACCGTTTATGGAACAGGACATGTGACATGATGGGCTTAGTTTTTTAATATTCTTCGTGCTTTTCATTTACATGCGCAAAGTCAATTATAAGTCATCTTTAGAATTTTCAGTGACGTAAGGCGATGTTTTGACGCGTTCAGACGGAAATAGAAGATTTTTTCAAATCTCACTCATCCGGGTTATTCTGTTATTTCTCTCCTTTTTTTCAATGATATTTCTTTGTATTGTTTGTGATGCCTTATTTGAGCAGGATATTGAAAAATCTTTGAAAGGTAGAATCGACAGTTCGTTAATAAACATATTTTTTTCTTTGTTTAGTCACATCATTCACGGTTAGATTTTAAACTGCTTTTTTCCTTTATGATTATCACAATATATAGTTAAGGCCTATCTTACTCTACGTTGACTAGATTTTCAGTACACCGTGTAACACGTGCATTATAATGCATTCTGTCATTCTAATTTCATTTGTACTTGTACCTGTTGTCGAAGATATTACGTATTCCAAACATGATATTCGCTCAGCGTCGCAAAAAAGCAATTTCAATACGGGAAGTACATCTTTCTGAACTTTAGTTCAGTTTTTATTATTTCGGAAATTCATTTCGAACAAAGTGAACAATTGTAATTTTTCATTATTCCGTTGTTATAACGTACAATAAAAGAATTAACAAATGTCTTTATTCGTTCAAGTTTTTCCAATAAGATCTAGAATAAGTACTAAAATATACTAATTTCAATTTTTAACAAGTCATATCTCCCAAAGTATACACTAATTTCAATAGCTCTGAAAACGTGGTCGATGTACAACTTTTCTGAAATTTGCGCTCTGTTTGATGAGATATTTTTACATCAATGAGTTAAGTGATTGTGTCTTTTTAATATTTCAAAATACGAGATTTCTATCGATGAAATCTTTTTACCATCTCTGAAGCTTTCGTTTGTTATCAAATTTGCTTTCACAACAAAGGGTTCACAAAATATTTCCGGCGGTGCTTACGGAATTTACTTCACTTCCATTTTAACACTTATATTATTTATTTATTTCTGTTTTTTGTCAGTTCGACAGACGGCAAAGTTTTACAGATATAATCGAGTCGAGCATTGAGAAAACAAATAATTTAATAATACGGATGCTGTGTATCATTTGGTGCGCTACGTGATAGAATCTATTTTGCAATCAGGGATAATATTATTTTCCATCAAAATGTGTAACTCTCCACCATCCGTGGATAGGAAGGACTTTTAATATAAAACATTTATATTTGCGTACATTAAACTATATGTTTTTTCAATGCCTTGATTCATATTTCTTCATTACATACGTAAGATAGATATCCATAGCTATATAAATTATCCTTTTTCAGAGTTGATAAATAGGTTGATAGAGTACAGATATACTTCCATTGTCCATTTCTTTTTCGGAAAGATTTCAGTGACGTGTGCTTTTTAATATAATAAAGTAGCAACCAATGGTAATAGTGAAATTTATGTTTTAAATACACAAAAAAATAGGTGTCGCTATCTTTATAGGAATTAGTCGTGTTGAAATTGATCGATGATCAGTCATTTCGGATTTAAATCTTTAAAAAGTGAAGAAACGTTCGTTTCTTCGGTTCGGCTATTGCTCCTTCAAGATCTTTTGTTCGCAATTTCAGAAAGATAAAAGCCCCTATGCTAATGTGTGAAGTTGAAAAATGTCTTAAGAATTATTCGGTTATACTTTTCAATTCGCCATTGTAACATGAAATCTTCTATACATTAGGGATCGACAAACAGTGTAAAAAGAGGTGTATAGGATTTGTTGACATGTAGAATCGATTTTCTCTACTATAGATTAAAATTTATATAGCTTTTTCAATTACAATTATAACGCGTGTAGAGAGCATAGAAATAGTATAACAAAATATATGAAATATTTATAAAACAACTATCTGCCGTAGATTGTGACTGAGCGGCATCGCATTTCCGAACAATATTCTTACTCCATTGATATGTAATTAAATAGAATTTTAATAATAATCATTAACGAAAAGGCATCAATTCTTTTATTTATTTATTTTTCTTCATCGACCCGCGATGAGCAATGATGTTTTTTTCTCAAAACCGACGTCGCACTTTCACAATATACAGCATGGAAAAATCGATCGAATAATATAATATAGTGCATGGCCTTAGCCCTGCCCCCATCACATTCTTTTCTCAAATTCTCATCCATATTTACAAAGTCTAATCAATAGAATACTTACAATTACGTACGTATATTTCATTTTCTTCTTACAAGTAAAATTCTGTACATTTTACGAGTAGTTATTTTAATTGAATGAACTCTGCTTATCTTCAAAGTTTTCTCACGTTATTTCCGTATAACGCTCTAATTTTTTTTCAATTCTCATCGATATTTCATCTAATCAAATAGAATGTAATTATCTTTTGTACAACCTTGACTTTTAAGAACAGGTTAAGTTATCGTCATGCGAAAGTCATTAGTTCAAGGAAAACAAAATATGCAAGTTAACGATTGCTTGGTATACATTTACATCAAAACTTTTGATAAAATTTATTGCTACATTAAAATTTTTTCTGACTGATGATGTTTGGACAGTTTTCTTCATTCCTACTTAAAATATACAATACGTAGCGACTTTGCAGAAACGTTATTTTTTCAGTTATGCGTTTATTATGATAGGTCAACATCGTACATTTCCTCGGAAAACATTCCGAGTTACCAGTGAACTTTCAACCTATTTAATTTGCGTGCAATTAAACAACTATTTTGCTTTTTCTAACTCATCACAGCTTATATCGTATTACGCTCTTAAATTATGGAATGATCTAGGAGTCTTTTATCGCGGAAGATGAAACGTTATTTGTCAACGTTAAGTCTCCTCGATTTTTTGCAGTTCGTGTGTTTTGATTGAACGACAAGGTATATAACCTTTTAACATAATTAACCTCAAATAAGCTTAATTATGTGTATGTATGTGAGTCTAGTTATATTTATGCTATTTAGATCTTGGGGTATTCAATTATATGAGTGGAATCCAATTTCCAAACTAATTCTCATTATTTTAACTGTTGTTCTAATGCATTTTTAATAATATTTCAAAATCGCTAATGTAAAAAAGTTACTGTTTTACAATTATTTGTGTCCATGTTTTATTATAGATTAAATTTAAATACTCATATATCTATGTTATTCAAGTTCAAAATTTTGTGCACGATAGCCCTCCTTTCAAATATATTTGATAAAACTTGACAATATTAGTTTTTTATGTATAGTCTTACAATTCAAAATACAAAGTTTATTGTAATAATTATTTTTATAATCATTCAAACTAGAAGTTACTTACAAAGTTTGGATAAAACTTTAAAAAAAAAATCTATAGTATAATAATGTAACGGGCAAAAATGAGGAAAAAATCAGAAGTGAACTGTTTGATTTATAATAAGTAAGTTCAATAATTGTTATCTTTTTGAAATTCGGGATTAGAGATGTATATTTTAAACAGTACAGTTTTATTAAATCGATCGATATGTATTCGGGATAAAGAGAAGTATGATATGTCAGACGAAAAAAATGGATATTAGTACTTTTGTGCGCAAATTCGTACTTTTATTCAGCACCGACTAAAATCGACTAAAAAATTATTACTTTTTGTAAATAAATGTCACTGATTTACGTTCGTTCGATCGACTTACTTAAAACATAAATTAATGTCGCTACAATCGTTCCAATAAAAAAAAGAACTCAATTTTAAAAATCCCCAATAACCCGCGCGTTCAATCAACTAGTTGGAAGGGAAACTTTGACGCCGGGAAATTAATTACAATAATAACCAACTTCAAATATACAATAATGTACAGCAAGTGAAAGATTCTAGATATATATCTATATATATTCAAGTTGACATTGCCTCGAACGAAAAAACCCCGTAGCTGCAAAGACGCAATATTCTGGGCAGTAGTCGGTCGCTTGGCGATCTGTTATGGAAGGACATACAAAAATAGAAGCGTATGACATACGTCGTGGACAGTTGGATCACTATTGTGCACATCTTTAAATTTCCGTGCCTCCGTCAGTCGACGAATCTTCACCGCTGGGTCGCCGTCCTAGTTTGCGGAGAGGAACGGGGAAAAAGAAACATGAAAAAATCTTTTTACACACTTTTTCATTCTTGTCTCTCTCCGTGACGGAGCAGTAAACTTCTCTCTCGAAAGAAATTCTCTCTTTTTTTTCTACTCGCAAACTTTTTATTCGGCGTGAAAGTTCGAGCGAAAGTTTTTACTATAAATTTCAAGCAACTTCGATCAAATTTAGGATGTCACGGAAGTTCCACGTAAGCACGTGCGATCAGGATCATTTTCACGGCTGTCGCTCGTTATCGGAAATGGAATTTAATTTCGATATGTGCACTTTTCAACGCTTAAAACTAGTATCTCTTTCAATCGTGTACTTTATTTGGGAAACTTCGGAAAGAAAGATCAATTATTGATTACCGGGGCGAAAAGGCTCGACTCAGCTATCAAATGGATCCATGGTGAGTGACCGTGATTCGGGTAATCGACGTAGTGCTTTGAATGCTTGATACAAGGTGGAGGATTTGTCAGCATCGCCAGCGCTGAACCGATGCTGCGCCTTTACGTGTGAATTGGCGGCGCCGCTGTTGTCCCAGGTGCGATGCCTTCCAGACGAGCGTCTCTCGAACGGAAAGCTCGTGCCATCTATTGCAAAGTTAACGATACACTGTTTTTGTTTTCCACTTTGGACAAGATCACCTGGCCCGCGACAGATGGTTTTTGACAAAACTTCGGCAAGATTTTTTCATTAAACATACCTCTATTCTGGGTGTCTTTTGGCCGGAAAATATTTGCTTAAAGTTTCGCCAACGTTTACTTGGTCTGCTCGTTAGTAAAGTTAAAGAGAAGCAATTGGAGCTTACCAGGCGACTGAGTGGGTGACTGCGACGGGGAGCCAAGCAACGGTGATAGTGGTTCGTACGGCGGTGGCGGTGGTGACGACGGCGATGGCGTAGGCGATGCCGGTTTCAGTAGAAGCTCGGGGTCGAGGCCGAGGATCCTAAGGCACCGCGCCGGATCGGAGCGAGCCCAACACTCCAGTAAGTCTACTGGCCAGTCTGTCTGGCATGATGCATTTACCATCCTACTGTGGTTGTTGTTACTATTAACGGCTGCTGTTGCTGCTGCTGCTGCTGCTGCTGTCGGTGGATTCCAGCATAAAGCGTCCGGCGGGTGCGAGGAACTTCGCGCCAGAACCCCGATGCTACCACCGCTACCGGCGACACCGTCACCCCCACCGCTACTGCTACGACGACCACTTGGTGTCGGTAGATTTGGATTGCTTTGAGGCGAACTTGCTAGCATTTGCAACGCTTGGATGGCGTTTCGTACCTGACGTTCACGGTTAATGTTAACATTTTCTGTTGATATTTTTTTCTCAACAAACTAGCATTTTATTTGATCATGTTTATGGCGATTTTATTTAGCTGGGGTACGAAAAAGCTTTAATATTATTCCCAGTTTGTGCAAATTTCATAATCTTCGTTTACTGTAAAATAATTGTTGGAGTAGAACCAATAAAATCGTAATAACTTTAAATGAAATTTCGTTACAAGCTTTGTTGTATTAACCCATTTCCATGAAAATCGATTTCTTGTATTTTTTTTTATATGACGTCAAACTCAATCAAATCTCAAATGCCAGTGGTCAAATTCAAATAAAATAATTGAGTCACCGTGAAGTTTAAAACGTAATAGGGAAGAAAAAAGGCGATATGCAATGAAGTAAAAGAACCTCGTAGCTAAGCGTCGCGACGTCTTGATGAAGCGTTAAGACTTGGGTGTCGAGTCTTTCGACGGAGCCGCGTATGTGGTCTTCGACGGATTCTTGTGGAACTACTTGAGTGGTTCTACCAGTCCTCAGGACTCCCCTTGGTGGCCTCTTACTCTGATACTCGTCCCTACACGCGCAATAGCATCGTCATTATTCATGGTATACGCGTACATCAAGGCGACGCGCGTATCAAATATTTAACTCACCTGAACTTTGCGTGTCGTGGACTCGAGCTAGCGTGCAGCGGTGATCTATTTGGGGGCGAAAGGGGTGAAGTCTCACCCTCCTCTGGGACATTTTCGTCGTCTTCGCTGATCGACGGTAGCGTTAATGATGGACCACCGTTTATCTCCGACTCTTGCTGCTCCAAAAATCGAAAATTTAATAACAGGTTTAAATATTAGTGTGGCTTCTTGTCATAGAAGTGTATGACTACATGGATTAACAATGAACGACTAGAAAGAAGTATTAACATGCTCAAGCTTGATTTATCTATGGATAAATTATCGACTATAAAAATCTATTCACCATAAAAATTACCATGCATACGTTTTTACGAAAAAATTTTATTTTAATGTGAGCTATTTTAATGTGTCTTTCTTATTGTGAAATAAAAAATTGATCGAGAGAATTACATCGATTTTGAAGTTATGAAAGTGGCATATTTATCAACAATAAAACAATGTTATTCAAAATTCTATCTAATGCAATCACAAATGACAATAAATAGGATATGTAAAATGCATAAGCAACTAATTATGTGAAAGATATATGACCGTTACGGAGTTTTATCTTAAAAATCAAGAGAAAATGTATGTTGTATCTATGCGTTTTTTTTAAATTTGCAGTGCACACTTTGAACGATGCCAAACAATGTACTTTCACCTACGAATTCTCACGCAGATAAAACAAAAATTAGACTCACGTATAATTGACGTATCGGCTATTAATCAAGTGAATTAAAAAGAGAAGAATCATCAATTTTAATAATCAGAAATCGAATTTCATTACACGTTAATTAACGCAATATAATAAGCAGACAAACATGAAAAAATGGTATCGCATCATAGATTTTCTCTAAAAGGAACAAAATTATGGGCGACTACCTTTAAAACAAGATAACACAGATCTGCTCTTAAATAAACAATATAGCTAACATATGAAAGGTAAAATATACACATTATATATAATAAGGAGAGAGAAACACTGACATATGAGAATTGAATTAATACCACGCGTATTATTGTGTCTTGGCGGTACACGGAAGTAACAAACGGATAGCACGCAAACACAGACGTACACACAGAGTATAAAACTCACCTCGGCTTCGTATCCTTCTCGCAGATTGTACGTGAGGTCGTGCTGGATGTCGTGAGCGAATTCTTGCTGATACTCCGGATACAGTCGCAACACGTCCACGAGACCTTGGATGTTGATACACTTGAGGTCGCAGTAGGTCAAAGCTTTCACGTCGCAACTCGACTTCACCACCACGTCGCTCGGTCCTGCACTGATCACCTGACCACCGTTGCCGTGGGTCAGATGCATATTTATATCGCAGCCGACCAGATCACCTTTGCCTGCGACAATAAGACTCGCGTAAGCCTTCACGGGCGTCGAGCTTGCAGCGCGACATTATATCCCGCGTGGATGTAACATGGCACTCCGGCAGCCTGACAATGCTTAATTTGGCTTTTGCCGATTACCAGTCGAACGGGCGCGCGCATTCACCGAGGCTCCACGAATATGCTAATAGTTTTCAATGAGTTTCCAATGCCACACTCTCTCGCAGAGTATCCTGAACAATATACGCCTATCGCGTTTTCTTGCGGCCAACTTGCATCGAAAAGTGCTTCGATTTGGAGAACTCGAGTTGTGAGAATATCAACGGCGCAAGATTGACGACGACGCTTTGTTAGCTTAAAAATTAACGACATACGCACCGAGAATAGCGACAACCATCTCATTTTGCACGACCTCCATGGAGCCGTTGCAGAGATAATAGATGTAGGATAAGGCGTCACCCTTGTGCATGAGGTATTCGCCGGGTGCACAGAAATTGCTGCGTATGTGAAGTGAGAGTAGCTTGAGGCAGCCTTGCGACGCTGCCTCGAATATTGGGAGACTGAGTATTTCACGATGCAGGTGCATCGATACGTCGCCACGCAACTCTTCCGGAAACTCCTTTAGTGTCTGCAGCAAAGAGTGAGCGAAGCTATTGAGATTTCGAATGCTCCAACTGCGGGCAGGCTTACAGAATTTTTTTAAAAAGTAAAGAGGAAAGAACTGTTGATAATAATTTGCGTGGGCAGTCGGCCTCGAGGTGAGAATCTGCCTTCTTTCTCTTGTCTCATTTATAAATTGATTATCGACTTTTCACCGTTCGTTCAAAGTATACTGCCATATATTCCTACAACTGGAGCTACTGAAAAATTAGCGCCTCTTCGCCGTTGTGAATGACAATCCAACAATTTTTTCATTCTTTACCTTTTATTCATATTGTTGTTGATGAGGAATAATGGAGTGTACCTTATTTACCTCGTGAATGTCGATGCCGTGATTGAGCGACCACATGGTTTGAAAGTAATCCTGCATCCTCTGTTTCAGCTCGTCGGGTATCTGATGCAGGGCCAAAAAGTCCTTGAGATCGCGCCACTTGGTCTGATAGAGCGATCTTCTTGAATACATGCGTTGAATGATTGCCGTCACGTTACCGAACACCACGGCGTGCATCAGTGCTTAAAAAGCAAAAGACCAAAGGACGGTATACAGCGACGGCGAGAACGAGCTCGGAATTGTAAAGTGCGCCAAATGAAAAATGCATGTATGCGTACCACCGACGAGCATCGTGCAGATGGAAAAGACCTTCTCGGATGTTGTGTTGGCGGAGACGTTGCCGAAGCCCACGGACGTTAAGCTGCTGCAGGTAAAGTAGAGCGCCGTTATGTAGCTCTCCGAGTGCGTTATATTCGCTACGTCCGGCACTCGTAGCCTGTCCGCTAGCGCGTGGATCCATCCTTTGGACAATCAAGCTCATTACACTGTCGAACATTATTGCAGTGAGCAAGGTTACGCGTCGTATCTGGAGCAAGGCTTCGTATTAGAAACTATAGTCCGATGCCGTACAACTATACCAAACTCGCTCCACTGGCGCTCCCCCTCAAGCCAGATTTATCGAGAGCTATAACGCTTCGATATAACCGTAAAAAATGTATCAGGCCGACCAATCTAGTGCAAAGCAAGCGTTCGTTTCAATTTCTCTCCCCTATATTACAAGCTAACCCTCCCTGCTTGAAAAAATGCGCCAGAGGCAGAATCACCAATCATTAAAGACATTAACGCCCTTGGAAGATAAAACTTTGTCCTTGGCTTTATCCTCTCCCCTTCTATACAACTCAGCGCGCTCGGCTGCAGCACAAAACAAGAAGAGCGTTCGCAAGGACGAGTCTGAAGATTCGTTGCCCATTTTTAGATGCACTCCTGCTGCTATATGCGGCACTTATTAGCCGTCGGGAATAATGTATTCCAATTAGCTTGCGAAAGTGTCGAGCAGCATGCTCTCCCTTTCTCTCTCACTCCGTGAGAAAGCTTGACTCGAATTAAGTGGAAATCGATGGAGCTTTCCAATAATCCAATCGAACGCGACGCAACAGGCGGAGCAGCTCAGAATAAAGCGATATGCTAAACGCGACACTGCTGAAACTTGGCACGATTGTCAAAGTTTTGATTCATCGCTCGACTCTCGCGGAAGTACCGAGATTACCAGGATAAATGTATTTCTATTCTTTAGTTTTCGCGCATGTAGGCCAGGCGACGGAAATAAAGGTGCTTGAATAAACGAAGCTGTGCTTACCAAGATCCCAGTCTTTTTCGTGTCTTAGTCTTTCCTTCTCGGCTATAACGTACCAGATGCAGGCCAACCAATGCGCGACCAGAGTGAAGAACAGCATCAGTAGCGTGAGGATTATCGCGCTGTACTGCGAGTACCTGTCCATCTTCTGTAGCAGCCGCGCCAGGCGCAATAGTCGCGTTAGCTTCACAAGATGGATGTGGCTGTGACCCGAGTCCTGCAATCCACGATCATAGATATGCTTTCATTCCTTTTATTTCGCCTTCAGATCTGTCGAAAACCTCTAACAAGCAACTACTTGCACAACTTTTTAATACTTTTATTCGATACTATGACTGCTTTAGTAAAATATAATGCTAATACTGCTTGCCACTCGATTCACAAAAGGTTGAGAGAAATGGAAAAAAACTAATAGCAACATAATCTCCTCAAAATTTTATTGCTTTTATCAACTTCTTCTCTCCAGTTCTGACCCATTTTATGCGCCGTAGTAGTAGCAGACAGCTTCTCCGCGTATACGATCCGCGAAAAGACATTAAAACATTTTTATGGCTTTAAAAAACTTGAGCTCTCTTGGAAATTTCTTCTCTCTCTTTTTTTAACTTTCTTTACTATAAAATCTTAATATATAGAGCCATTGTATTTTCATATGACCAATTTTACAGCACCAATAAAACGGGCATAAATTACTTGTTACGCATACGTTAAACTTCGAATGTCTTTTTTTCTCTTTTCGTTAGTATAGTTCGGAAGAGCTTCTAGTGTGATAAGCGTCAGCACAAAGAGAATGAGTATTTTATGACTGTGCGGATACGCGTTAACCTGTTTTCGGATAAACGAATCGAAAGCTTGCACGTCCGCGTTGTTTATGCCTTTGATGTAAACGTAGATGTCAGGCCAATTTTACAAGATAAATTTCATTGCAACAACACGTAACAACCGGAAAGATCATCAGTTTCGAAAATATCTCATGATTTTCGAGATTCTAGGCGTCTAGGTGGTGCTCTAACATTCACATTTTCCGCACAAAGCGTCATCCCCGCGTGATTCAGTGTATTAACGAGCGTCGGTTAAGCGAACCATGCAAAACCGCAGTACAGGCCCGAGAGAAAGGAGAACAGCGACGGAATTTTCGAACAGTATTCTATATCTATCTACGTTTGCTAATCGATTTTAAATAATTTACACTGTTTTTGGAGGGCAAAATTTACGCAAATTGCGTGTAATTCTTTTTCGTTATTAGCTAAAGTGTTTTTAGGAGCTTCCCTTTCCCGTGTATAGAACTCTATGATTGGTCTATTCAGTGGCGCATATCATTCGATACAGTCTCTTTCAAATCGATACAACGAAAACGTATCCATCTGCGCGCTTGTTCGTGTCGGCGTTGGCGAGAAATTCCCTCTCGTGCCAATAATATGTCGTTTTTATAGATTTTGCCAAACGAACTCTATTCATATTTCTACGTTTGATGTCAAATGATAATGTACGACCAGAGCTTACACATCACGAAATGTATCATCGCGAGACAAATCCGAGCTCGTTACAATTCGGCATTCCGAGTTTTCAATTATCAGCTCGACGAAAATGGCTATATACGCGCGAGTCTCGCGGTATCGAGAATTTCGGGGGGCAAAGAAATACACGGCATTGAAAATCGCAAGCAAACGGGAGAAACAATAATTATCGAAATAGTGCGCAGGCGCTATTTTCCCAGCTTGATATTGCGAGAGAGTTGTAGAAGCGTTAAAAAGTCAACAACAAGCGGCTGCAAGAAATAAATTGCGACCAGCGAGACGCGAAAAAATAAAAAAATATATCTTTCCTTTTGGTAAATGCCAACTGCTTTTGCCACTGTAGGTCAATAAAAAGTTGCGATAATTTTTGTAGAGAATCAGAACTGACCTCGCCACTGTAGACGTCGCTGGCGTAAAGCAAGTCGAACGGTAGAGCTGCCACGAGGTCGATCAGGAACCAACTTTTAATGTAATTCACCGCTATGCTCTTGCTGTTACTCACCACCTCGCCCTTACGGTTCACGTATGTCGTCCTGAAGTTTAACACGATGTCTGCGGATTGTAAGAAAATTACAGAATTACATTCAGCCTTTTTCTTTACAAAGAATATTTTCAGTGAAACATTTTTTCAGTTTTTCCGTTACATTACGTTGACCTAGTTGATGATAAGAAATACTATTAACGTTATCCTGTGACATACGCTGCATATGCAATTACTCAGATGATGAAAGTTCCGCTGAAAATATACGCGTAACTATACTGTGTATTTGAAATTCAGGTTCACGTGGAACTGAGTCTTTGAATGTGTATCAACATTGCATATACAAATGATGTATGAATATCCATGAAATTTCGACGAGCTTATCATTTGAGCAAGTTTAAATGACTTTTGCAAGGGAGATAGAGAACTGTAGAAGTGTTGTCGGAAATGAATTAGTTACACAACTTGCCAAGCTCTTAATTAGAAAACTGAACATGTCGTGATTTTGCACGTGTACATTATCGCACAGTTGGAATCCTAAATGAAACTCCCTCAGGCCATAAAAAAACACATCGGAATACATGTTGGTTAACTTTTGATCAACAAAATGAAAAACAAAAAAAAACGTCCGAAGGCTTCGGGGTTTATGCAAACAATGAGAAAAAGATGCGCGAGCAAGCAAGTTTGATGTGTGTTGTGTTTGTATATGTGTGGGTGTGTGAAGCTCGTTTATTGATTCAAGAATCACGTTGTTAGAAAACAGCGTGCGCTGAGCAGCGCATCCTCGTTGGGCAATCTACATAACGCGGTCAAGCTAATATGGGTCGAACTTTGAAGGAGTATGCTGATCCTAATTATGACTGCCGATCGACTCCTGAATTATGTATTTTACGTTTCGATAAAGTTAATATCGCTTTGTAAATTAATCAAGCTCATGCCTTGCTTTTTTTACTTTCGGCGCATAAAAGTAATTACGTGCAGCTGCCGCTTGCATTCGAGACGCGAGTAGTAAGTTCATTCGAATGAAATTTCATTGCAGTTCAACTTCTCTGCCAAGGTTGATTAAATATCTTGACTCTGGCACTTTGAGAAATGTATATTTCGTCAAACACGCGCAGTTTGATATTATGTGGAGTGCTCGCTCGCGCGATTTCTTTTTCCGGCAAATATTTCTTCGCAATCAATTTATGTTTTTTTCTATATCACCAGAGATTGAAAAAATCTCACTCTCGTGAGCTGAATTCCCGAAAAAGTTGATTCGGAAGGCCGCATTAACCAGATTAAAAAAGTACACGAGAAAGCGGACTTAGAATATATAGGTTGAGGTAAAAAAAAACTGCGTACGCGATTCCAAGGGTCATTGGTTTGCTTCTTTTTCTTAGCACGACAGAACCCCGCGTAAGCTCTGGCCTTCTTCCGGGCAAGTTTTCGCGAAGAAAATCAGGCGGATTCGAGCAGCGACAGCAGCGTATCGTGTCTCTGTCGAGTTGAAATCTCAGAAAAAGCGGAGTTGTGTCTCCGCGCGTACATTGATCGCCCCCAAAAGGAATCAACTGGCTTTTTCTTTATTTTTCCTCAAGTCTGGATTTATTTATGTGTGTCAAGAGGTTGGTAAATTTTTGTTCGCGAATGTCTTTTAATTGTTTCGTATTTTAAAGCTGCGTGACGATATATTTTTTGGTCGTTGAAATATGATTTGTGCATCCATTATATGTAACGTTTTATAAAGTTCTCTTTCTTTGATGAACGGCGTCAGTGATTTTTTATCGCTCCGTCAAGTGCGTATATATACTTTGCTAGCTTGAGTAGCAAAAAAAGTACGTACGTTAGCGTTTCACTCAAGTGTAAACACCCTTTTTCATCATTTTTTACGAAGCTGCATTCTGTATATTCGCTGAGTATAGCAGCTTTGTTTCATGAAAGTATAATACAGATATCATTGTTCAGCGTGTGACAAAGCATTTTCTCATGTAACGATAATGTTACTAACGAAATAAAAAAATTATGGCTACTTGGATTAGTCCTACTTTTAAAAAAGCATGAGATGTCGATATTCAGCGTTTAATTGGTTAATGCTCAAAAAGAGCGAGAAATAAAAAATTTTTGTATACTTTGAAGTATTTTTATTATATATTTAGAAGTGTGAGATTTATATTCAGTAGTAAATTTAATTTATGAATAATTAATATGGATAATAATCAGCACGAATAAACACATTCCATTAATCAATTGCTTTAAGAAGATCAGAGGTTGTGTTTTAAAATTATTAGTACAAATCAATAATCTTATACCTATCTGTACTGAAATGAATATTGTCTTAAAATTTGCTTAAAAGGAACAGAAAGAATGTGAATATAATAAAATGAAAAAAAATAATAAATTTTTATCTTTTGTACATTTTAAATTAAGAAGTGCGGGCAATGGAAATTAATTATCAGGTAATTAAATCCGTTCAATTTGAAGGATGTTTGTAGGTGCTTTTAGCGAAACAAAATAAAATATGATCTTAAACATATATTTATACATATTATTTCTACTGATATAAGATTGAAGCCCTTTTCACTACTATTAAGTACGTAAAGTTTAGTATTCTATAATAGTATAATAGCTGAATACGTTTTATTAATCACAGGTTTAATTAAACATTTTCCGACACATCTTGAAATGAATAAAAGTTTATCGGTTTTTGTCAAAAAATGGATGCAAATTCTATTTTTATTCATCACTAAACATTGATGGACGTAGTGTACTTTAAACAGCATGATTTATTCACACGTATACAACATTAGAATCTCAAAGTTGTCATGTAAAAGCTTCATGAAATGTAATAAATAAAAGAAAAGCATAACAGAAAAAACGCGAGCAGCGCGCTAAATAAAAGTCCATTGAATGAAATACGGAAAACCTTAAGAACTCGTCAAGAACTAAGATAGAAATGTGACGTGTTGGAAATTCTGCATCTTTTTACGGTCAAAGTAGTATATTAAAATGAAAAAAGTTTTTGTATATCAGAGAGAACTAGGACTTTTAAGAAGGGTCGTGAATCTCTGAGAGAGATACGCACCTACAAGATTATCGAAACTTTTAGTAAAGAATTTTTTTAATTTTTTGCAAAAAGTATGCTTCAAATATAAAGAAAAGTCATCCAATAAAAAGTTTCGTTCGTAAAATTAGTTAAACAATCCAAAACTCTTAAGTGTATAGCCAGTCACCATTTTACTTTATGTCTTTCAGTTTTCAAATTAGTATTTTACCTGAAATTAGCAGTTCCGCTTGATGAGCCGTGTGGCATTTTGAAAGAGAGATAGCTTTTGCGTCGTACTACGTAAACATTTGCCCTTCTACCCGTGAGAGAGATAGAGACCTTTTCAAATACGATCCTAGTTACTAGTGTGTACGTGCGTGTGTTTACTACCCGGTGAGTACCCGTTCGCTACGAGCAAACTTTAAGTTTATCAAGTGTTATACCGTTCTGATAAGATGCTTTTTGTTTATAGCCATGAGAAATTGTTGTTCCCTGAAATTCATGCAATAGCGACTTTTTAAGGAACTAATTTTATTTCGTGCAAGCTTGACTTTGATTATTTTTATTTTGTGCAATTGTGACATTTTAAAGAACTCTCTCCAAGAACTTAATATTTGAAGTTTAACGAAGGATGAGAGGGATTTAGATTATTGCACTTTGGTTTCATTAAAATTTCATTAAAAGTAGCAGCCATAATGCTGTTTATTTCATTTTTTAAGTTAAAAAGTTTACATTTCTGCAATAAAGATTGCACTCGCTACTTTTCCAAAACTAGGACATTAATCTACCTTTTCTTTGTTCGTAAAAGTTAGAATCTCAGCTTTTCATAAATCTGTTAGCAATTCAATTTCGTGGTAATTACACGAAAAACATATTTTTGAAATAAGCTAAAAGTTATAAATTAGTATTTTTAGTTTTTTCAGTTAACGGATAAGAACCAAAATATTTCTTACAAATAAATGGCAAAATGGAAATTTAATTGACTTTAATTGAAGACTGTGATTGAGTGGTAGAATAGCTACTTGACTAATTAAAGTCAACAATATTGATTTCATGACAGCTAATAAAAGTAATTCACAGTATAGTTCTACTCAAAATTATACGATGTCGAGTGGTTTACCACTTGACACGCTATTTTTTCCCCTTCAATTTCTTTCTCTTTCCGCGAGAGTGTTGAATTTAGTACGCGGTAAATAGCTGCACAGCCAAACAAACGAAGAACAAATCAAAGGCTTGTTGAATTTTAAGTAATTAAAAAATTACAAGTGATTCAACGAGTATTGGATATATTTTTCTTGGGTAAAAAGGAGATGTAAAAAAGTTATTTACGTTCTAAGTATATTTTCATACTTATAAGAAAAGATATACGAGTAGGTATATGTGCGAACAAAGGCGTTTTGCAGCTAATGCAATTCTCAGCTCTGACTATTCGCTTGGATCCTTTTTTTGTTTGCGCGTGGCTTGATGTAGAAAAAAAGGTTTACCGCTGACCCTTTTTCTGTCTCTACGGTTTTTTTTTGTCTCGACCGAGATGGACAATGCAACGCGTGTGCTTCCATTTCTTGGCCAGTTGTTTGTGAGGCTAAATTTCTAAAATTGAATTTGCGTTTTTAGTACAGCTTGAGTTTCAATATGCATTCGAAAGATTTTGTTGAATTTTTAGATAACTCGTCGTTCGTCGTCCATTCGTTTCAGAGAGATTTAATACTTGTACGTGACGGCATCAAAGCAAACTCCGGAAATAAAATATAGTTGAATCAAAGCTTTACTTGGCATAATATTCAATTGAATTGAGAGCAACGGCATATCTCACCTAAAATGAAAATAACCTCGACGACGACATCGCTGACCATCGACGGTCGATCGACATTGATAAAGCTGGCATTGTACGGCACCACAACCGCAACGTAGAGCGTCGCTATTAGCAGCAACCAGTCCCAGCACGTTTTGAAGATGCCATAATGACTCAGGATGAACTGCGACTTTTTCAGAGTTGTCGTCTTGTACTCCGGTAGTGGCGTCGTTTGCGAATGTAACAGTGTCTGCAACAGGTGCCAATTATATTGTAGATTTTTTCCTGGTTCGGCAGTGTAGTACTTAAGTCTCAAATTTGCCTGTACAATGAACTCTGTGATTTATTCAGTTACGCAAACGTTATTTATCCCAAGGCATCGAATTCCCGATATTCTCCGATACTATCCGAAAAGGAAAATTCTTACTTCCGTGGCAAAAGCGTACTTGGAGTATACGCTCTAAGTATAATGAGATTTTCTGCAACGTGACGTTTTAATTATAGGAGCGCAAGATTGTAAGGTAAGCCAATTATAAAGTTAATTAAAAAGTTTAATTATCCATAAGACTCTAAGTAAGAGATGGCGTGTATTGTGTACATTAACTTAGAACGTCTTCTTTTTGTTCTTCTTCGAGTTTCCGATGATCACTCGACGTCTGCAGCAACGAGGCAAATAAATATGCGAGAAGTGGCAACCTCGAGCCGAGGCTTGTGCGCTCTGCCAAGATAGATATTGGTATGCTCGTGGCGTTAAACACCATGTGAACCAGTGCGCGAACTTGGAGCTTAAAGAATATCTCCTCCTCGTCCGCATACATATATAACCGTACGAGGAGAAGCGGCCTTGAACTATCTATGCAAAGCTCTGAGAATAGTCAGGCGCTAAGTCCAAAATATCCCAGGCGACGTGCAAGAGGTAGATTATAAGCTGCACGTAATTTATAAACAGATGGAGCTTTATTTTGTTCGGCCAACAGTCGTGTGTTGTCGTTAAATAACAAATATTCACGTTACAATGTCTAACTTAATGGACTAAGTCGTGACAACCTTAACTCATCAGTTTTTCGAATCATCAAACTCTTTGCATTACATCGCGCAGTTTGAACCAAAAGTATACTGAGAACTATTGCTTTAAGATTGATCGACGAGTACCCACCAACTGATTTTAGTCCATCGACTGTTCGTAAACGTTACTTTCTTATACACTACGTCCGTGAGTATAATGTCACGGTTTGCAATGGCGTTACTAAAGCGTTAGTCACCGCGCAACAGCGTCATAAGTCAATTACAAGAGTTGTTCCATACGTAAAATTTAACACCACCACTTGCGCTCTCGTAAAGACAAACTTCGCAGGAGGGAAGCGGGGGAAGGATGTTCGCACGTTTGTTGGAATGCGATTGAAACGGGGTCGCACGTTATTAAAACATTGTATTAGAGGTAAGATTAGTACTCCATAACCGTCTGTACGTGTTGGTTGTCGTACGAGCATTAAACGGCGAAACCAAACTACTCTTAACCTCTGATATTCGCGTCAAAGTAACGAAACACTTACCACATGTGTTTGCATCTCCATTGTACTTTCTGTTTGATCAACATTCGCCATTGAAATGAACGCTTCTCTCGCTAATTATCCGCGCTTACAAGACTCGATGCCGTGGGGCCCTACGGTCCCAGCCGCATGGGGGCGCTACGATTTTACCCGCGCGATTCAAAACTATTCAGGCTCGATTTATATTTAACTACGCTCTTTTTTAGAAATGATTACGTAGACGTACTCACATTATTGAGTTTAATTTTATGCTTATTGTCTTGCTTGTAGTGACCAGATAATTGATACAATACTGCTCGACTTCTTCTCCGTCCATAATTCGCTGGCGGCGCCTCGGGGTCTAAATTACCATTTGCATCTAAAATCAACATCACACATACAGATTGAAATTAATTATACATAGACTCTCGCAAGCATTCTGCTTAATTTGAATCTAATGAAGCGTGACGGAGCTTGTCCAATGGCAATTTCATGTTCAGTAAACATTAAGCAAAATTGGCTTAAAAATTTTTCCTTCTCTGTTTTTGCTTCTACACTATTATAAAACTGCGATATACTTTATAAATTTTGTGAATTGCGAGCAGCAGTCAATACAATGGTGATAAAAATATGTCGCAGATGATTAATGCCATAGATACGTATTTTAAGTGTAAAGTGAATATGTGCAAATGCGTTAAGATATACAAAGCCATATATAATACTACTTCGTATAACTATAAATAGGAGTCCGTATCAACAGGTTACACTACTCACGTTGAAATATCGCAGAGACACATGTAAGGTGGATGCAATGACTTGGAAAGCGTCTTTGTATTTTTTTTAATTCCTCTTTTTTTCAATCTCGTGATTGCGCGCGATTCTCGAGTCTCCCCCGGAGCAGTGTAAGCGACCTCATAGTCGTCGTCGCAAAGCTGTGATTATTCATCGTCGACTCGTCGAGACAATTGCACTCCCTTCCCATCCTCCGTAGTAACCGCTTTATAATAGCGCTGCTTAATAGCACCGAGGATGAGATCGTTGGGAGAGGAGCAGGGACAGGATCGATTATGAACTTGGGTAATTGATTAAATGAAAGTCGCGGAAGGATTTCGCGTGCGAGAGAGCGAGAGAGAGAGAGAGAGAGAAAGAGCAATAGTATGATTAATGTCATTAGCGTATTAATTTATAAACATGGGTTTGAACGCTCGAGAAATAAGTTTATTTCATGTTTCCGTCAGTTTCCATGCAGTGAAAGCAGGGGAGCGATGGTATAAGTACTGTGGGGATCAAACGCGTCGTAACAAGAACGTTTTTCGAAATCAACTCAGCTCCATATTGATAGAATAAGATGCAAGCAAACTGCAGACCTTCTTTATGAGTGCCGACAGTTGATGCGGGTCGTGCCGAACTGGTCGCCAGTTTTGCGAAGCTCTACACGGTAGTTTATAAATGCTACACTGTGGCGGCATGCCGGAGTGATGAGACACGTAATTACAGAGACGTGAGCTAAGCACGCACGCTTAGTAGTCCATTCTCCCGAATAATCGAGTCCTGCAAACTGCGTACGCACGACAAAAAGCTATGCTTGCATGTTAATCAAGAGCCACATTTCAAGTATTGACACGTGACTCGACAAACTCGTACCTCAACTCGTTCCATTCGTCCCATTGAGTGCTTTCACTTATCTGTAGAATATGCAACAAATCGAAGGAGTTTTTCGAGTCTCTTTATAATATTTTCTTTCGATATTTCATATATACCTACTAATTAACGTTTATTGTTTTCTACTTGCATTATTAAATAACATTTACCTTAATAATCTTTAAGAAAAGTATCTACGTAACTTAGCCACTTAAATAAAAAAAATTGATATCAACCTCATAAATCTTTTGGTTTTTCAAAGAAACACACTCCTAAAGCAGTTAATAGTATTTTTCTAATGGTGTTTAACCGGACCGTTCTCGTTGAAACAGTATATAAAAATACTCAGGGATTTAAAAGCCAAATTTTTAATACATAGCCCTTCGTTGAAACAAAATAAAAATTTCAAAATATAAAATTTAATTTTATATTTCAAATATAATTTAACATTAATTAAGTGTTCAAATATTGTAAAGAAATTTTACTTGCGTTTCTTCGTTTAAAATTTTTTGATAAAAGTGTGTATTTTATGTCAAGCCCTTTCATTGCCTTTCTAATTAATATGCCGCGTTGCATAACCTCAGTGGATTCATAAATAATCGATCATTTTTAATTAAAAAATAATTTATTATGCGACATCGGGCGGTATCTCGATATATTTTCAACTGGAAGAGTAAAACTTTTAGTAAGTTAAAATTAGGAAAGAATTAGCTTTTTTTTGTTGAGAAATGTTAAAAATCATGATAAAATTGTGTTAACATGAAGTAGCCCATAAAATGAAATGCAAAAGTTAGTTTAATAGAAAAAGAAATTATGATCTGTTGACGCAGCTTGTCTAACAATTAAGATCATCGATGAAAAAGTGATTAAGAAAAAAATTCAATGTGATTTGAGACAACAATAGTAAAGTATATAGACTCGAGATAACAGATTAAAGTGAAGATGCAATCCAGCAGAAAGAAGACTTTATTCGTCCTCGGATTTGCATAAATGGACTTGGAAGAATCTCGACACAATCGTAGCAACGACTATTTCTCTCTCTTTCTTTCTCAGGTTGCACCTTATCTCTCATGCATTTACTTCAGCTGCACGACTTTCTATTCCAACGTCACTATTCATATTCTTTTTTTGTCCTCGTTTGCCCCGTAATGGAAGACGCTGGGGGCGCGATTTATGCAATAGCAGAAATCAAGGAAGCGAAGGGGAGACTCGATTTAAATGAAAAAAATTTCTCTCGAGTTTATTTATTTTATTTGTTTGGATCATTTTAATTAACTGCCACGTATTTGGGTCTTAGGCGAAACCTCCGCCGAGGGCAAAGTTTATTTTGTGACACGAAAAAAAAAAGGTCCAGGAGTGATATAGTGGACTAGATGCATATGTATGTAAGTACGAATTACTTTTTTTTCTCGCACGACGCTAAAGCGTGTTGTGTCAGTGTAGTTTGCAATCGTGCAAGTACTCTAGTATGTCTGCAACAGTCACTTTCTCACAATAAGCTAGCATTGAATTTTTCTCATTTTGGAAAGAGCAAGACTTGAATGCACCTCGTTCGTCTAATTGTAAGTCATAGTTTAGAATTTTCGAAAAATTTTAATCTCTAAAATGCCTTTTCTTTGCAAAGCTAAGACTCTTCTATCGTTATTTGACCTTGACATATTGATTTCACGATGGTAAATTCATATCTAAAAGTTTTCATAAGCTTTACGAGACATAAAAAGCTCTCCAATGACAAATTTTATGATTCGCTCGGGCCATTTTAACGACGGAATGATAATTTAAAATGTAATTGTTATTCCTAACCTCTCTGCTTAATAATACTACGCAGCGTTTTTCACGTCACATTTTATTGTAATACTCTCTCGACTAATCAATAAGAAAGTTGACGCACACGTAGACACAGAGAAACAGTGTGAGTACAAACGATCGCAAAGTTACACTGTAAAGCAGGGGAAAAGCATGGCATTTGTGCACTCACCACTGTCATACAACTCACAGAGCTGAAGATCCTTCGTGTGTGTGATATCTTTGTGTGATGCCAGGAACAATACAACGTCGCCTTTCTCATTCTTGATTGGCACGATGTCCAGCAGACAGTCAAATGGCACACCTGTGTAAGTTTATAATTTCAGTTTTATTCAGTTTCTTTGATTTATTTTGTATTTGATGTCGTGAAAATTCAATTTACTTATTGTTCAGTAACGACATCTATGATGGCATGAATTATGCATCGTGTGCGTAAAATGTATACGGCGCAAAATTTACGTATTCCTCTTTAAAATTATAAGGCCAGCGCGGTTATAAGGAGGTTTTTATTTTCGAAAAAAATACAAAGCTAAAAAAGGAATAACCTCACACAATTGAAATATTTTTCTCGAGCGGACAAAAACTTCAATTGTGATTTTTCACACAGGAAATGGCAATTAATTCGTTAAATCAGCAGAAAGAATAAAAAATAATCAAGTAAAAATTGAGAGGAATATTCTACTGACGCACCGAATTCAGCTTTAATTTTACAAACACAGAGAGAAGAGCTTATAGAGCTCGTCACGACATCTTCGCGTGCACCTAGTGATAAGAGCCACACGCGTACAAAGAAAAGGATGTATCTCTTTGCGGCTCCTCTGTGCGGGATTATTTTCAGCTGTCGTGCGTGTATGTATGTACAACTGGCCGAGCGATTTTGCACCTTATGGACAGAGATATTTTTGCTGCTCTACTACAGCAGAAAATGGAGTGCATGTGCTGGAGCTTTCGTTTTTTCTTTTTCTATTTCTTTCTTTCTCATGAAAAAGATGAAATGAAAAAACAAATTGTATACACTGCAGATTTGTGTATGGAATTAAAATGTCTACATTTTTCTCGCGATAATCTTGATTAACGATGAAATTTCCTTTGCCGATTCGTATGTTCGTTTGAAGCAGCCTAAGTTTGAGTCAACCAAGCAAACTAAAATTCAAAATGTTTAAAACGTAAGCCCTTTGTAACATTCAACATTTTTAAATATGCGAAAAAAAATTTGCGAGGAAGCTGAGATTATTCTTTTTAAAGCGTACAAAAAGAAACGTTTTCTCGCCACAACAGTCGGTATTTCTGTGTGGCATTACGCGCAAACGTGCATTCCCTTTGTTCGTCATTCTTTCACAGAGGAAAAATGTACGGTGAAATTATCGTCAGCCATTCGTTAGGAAATGTGCGACTCTGATCTACATATTATACTATGGCATAGCTTGGAGTGACGACAATGAAGGGAAAATGCATTAACAAAATCCTGCGCGATTTTTATTCGGTGCGCGTGAAAATCAAAATCTTATGATATTATTTCATTGCAAGAGCATTTTTCGGTTATATTATCTATTTGACACAGAGGTGTAATATTCAGCAAGTTGAAAGCTTTATTTTAAGATAAGTATCAATAATTGGCTGATTTTTCTGACTTAAAACTGATTTTATCATTTAAATCTGTTGCCGTTTAATATTTTTTCAAGTAGCCTGATGAAAGCGCAATATGCTCTACTTATAGAAATGTCTTTGATTTTTTTTACTGACGAATCTATTATTATATCCTTCGATATCACTAATATATAATTTATTTTCTTTGCTAGACAATTAATCTACTGACAATTTGAGAATCGGAAATACTCAAATGTCAATAATCTAACGCGAAAAAAATCAGCGGTCAATTAGCCAGATCCTTCAAAATCCTTCATATAGTGAGAGCTTTCATCTATGTTCTTTCTGTTTCTTGATGGAAGCGTCGACTTCCTGTTCTTCATTAATTATTGCCAGCTGTTACGTAGAGAGGGAAGAAAAAAAAAACTCTAGAAGATTTTGTCAATTTATCAAGGGATGGTCTAGTTTATCGCGTTCGGCCGCGCATTTCTGACTTTCACGTCAGCTTCCTAATCGCTTTGGTGATTACGCTCGTATTGTCATTTAAATGCTTTCGAAATTTTTTGGTATTATAATCGAGTTTTCAGCGCCTCAACAACAAAAGCCTCTACAGATGTTACAGCGTTAAGAATTTTCAGGTTCACGCCTCGTTCGGAAAATGTTTCATTAATTTTCCATCAAGTTTAATTTTTCCATCATTTAACGTTCACTTTGAATCGAAAATTCAATTCCGATTGAGAAGAGAGCAGCAAAAATATAACTATTCGGCATAAGCTTTAAGACGGGGTAGTACGTTGTTTGAATTGAAAATTATAAAAGGGATAGAATGATAAATGTAGTAAATATTGAAAACTCACCGTTCTTTTTGTAAAAAACAACCTCGAGTTTGAGCTCTGTTTTGCTCTCGAGGCTCTTGTCAATCATGGCTTTTTCCTCCTCTTTAGTCTCCGGGCCGTACAGAAATTTGCAGGCGCAACCTTTCTGCATGATTTGTGCCCGCGCGAACCCCGTGAGCTCGCAAAAGCCGTCCGAGCAATAGACGATCGGGTAGAGCGACGGCACCTGCGCATTTCCCAGCACAAAGTTGCTGTCTGTAACACACGTCAATTCAAACGCACTCCATCAGCACTGATTGCAATCCTCGCGACAACAAAGAATCGCTCGCTCAAAGTCTCTTTTAACTGTCAGTCACGCGGGCACTTTGACAAGGCTGACTTTTGCAGTAAAAAAGTACTTTCGTTAATTGTTCAGGTCCGCTCGCTACAATGAACAGGCCCAGGTCCACATTTACTGGAGCTACTATTTTTTGCTTGTCGTCCGCAGGGTGATAAATCAAGGCTGTCGTAGGTAAATTATAAATAAAAAGCTGCAAAGCATGCATGGTCAATAGCGGAGACGACAGCGCGCTGGAAAGTAGAGGAACAAAAGCGCAGAGTGAACTTTTTCTCGCTCGATCGCTATTTATGCTTCGCCACTACCGCTATAATCATCGATGTCAGACGCACACTCTCGATGTGCTTTATCCGAAGCTCTCTATCGAGCAATGTTTTAATTTATATATCACTTTCTTCGACAGTACGTTACACAGAAAACTAATCGTTTGATAATCATTGCCATTCTGTCGGCAAAAGAAACCGACAGCTTTTCACATCACGCGGCTGAAGCATGGATAATATCCGGCATCGTGGAGCTAAATATATTGCAACGCACGCATGTGATAAAAATAAGCGAGTTGTACAGAAAAAAAAAGTGAATTTCCCCAACGAATCTATAATGCTTCTGACCGAGAAGGGAGAATTAAAAAAAAATGACCTTGTGCGGTCCAAGAGAAATTGAGGGGAAAGGGGCAAGAGGTCTTGAAGATAAAAAAAATTGACGCTTGGGAAAACGCGTCATTTAATTATTTATGATGAGCAAAACGGAGACTTGAGTAATTCCTTTGGATATCGCGCGCTTCTGCGGTTTTGTTAAAGAGATTCACTGATTGCTTTTTCTTATGAGATTACCCAGCGTAATCTTCCGCAAGTGCGCGAATATCAGAATAAAAATGGAAAGGTTCGCATTACCGGCTCGATTTGGTAAACTCGGAAGCTGTACTCAAGGCTTTTTAGCAAGCTTTTTCAAACTTGTTTGTTGTGATTAGTAGGTTTCAAAACATTTGCTAACATTTTCTTCTCATATCTGTACAATCCTTAAACGAGCTTACCAACAGGAATCAAACTCAATTAAAAGTATGTTTCTTTACCGTGAGAGCTTCTTGTATTCTTTATGTCCTTCGAGACGAAAGTTTCAGGGATTCTTTTGCAACATTAACTTCTTTCAGTTCGTTAAGCTCGAGTCACTTTGTCCAAGTCGACTTTAATACTTTAAGCTACGTAAGAGAAGTCAGAAGTTTCATTTTGCATCTTTACCAATTGACCTTCACTTCTTAATAAGACCATTCATATCCAACATCTGAGTATTTTACACTTTATAAAGTACAATGAAATTTAGTAAGATCCCTCTAAAGAATCTATGTGTAGTGCAATGTGATGTCTTTTTTTCAGCCGACTAATTGAAACGTTAAAACAGGTTCTAAGGTGTTATTATTTCAGGTTATATATGCAAATCAATTTTTTACCTTTGACGTTAACATTATCACATTACATGTAATAATGTTGCATCCTAACTGTATTTTATTTATTACATTACATGTAATCATAACTGTATTTCAATTTTATCGTAATTCATTTTAGAAACGCTACTCTCATTATTGAAAGCTCTTGGGATGCAAATTAATCAATGACACACGTATCCAAAAATGACTAAGTAAAGTGAAGCAAAAATAATATTTCTAATAATTATAACGTATGCAATCATTTAAATGCTTTGATGTATTTTCCTCGTAGTGGAGGGAGAAAAAGTGTAGAGCATTTATATTTCGACCAATGCGTTTGAATTATTGCGAATGAATTTTCTTGGTTTTTGTTTATTAACTTTTATAACTTCAAGTGGGCTTTCGAGTGAGCTTACGCATTACGAGCGTTTTACTCGGTAGAGCTTTGTTGAACATGAAAGAGCTTGGATTTACCGCGAAGTTTTACGATATTGAGATGAATATAAAAAGTTATGTCCAGCTTTTTAAACGTGTAAAAAAAAACATTGGTAATTTAAATAATCGCACCAATGTTTATTAAAATTTCACGAAGAAAGAAAATCACAGTAGCACGAAAGATCTCATTAAAAAATCTCGCCCGAGAGCAGCAGAGCGTTTACATCAAAGCCGTCGCCAACAAACCTACACGTGGTCTGCGCGACAAAGACTAATGGAGTATAACACGCGAGGTTGGAGCGCGGTGTCAAAACGTTTACTCACCGAAGCTTATTGGAAACTGAGCATGAGTCAAACGTTATTTTCGGTGCTTTCTGGTTGCCGAAAAAGATTAAGATTCCTTTTCGCTCTTTATTTGTTCCAGTTCAATATTCAATATTGTTTGATAGGATAACTCGAAGCTATATGTACCTAATGATGATTTATTTACACGATGCGAGTGTATATTTATTGTAATACGCGAAAGATGTATTTCACGAAATTCACGCGATGAAACGGGGTATAACTAAAACTTCTGAGGTTTGACAATATTACTGTACATGGACTAAGTATATGCGCGCGGTTGAGCGGAAGCTTACGCGTGTGAGACGTGGACTTAACTGTTTCATGCATACACATGCGAATTCGATCGTTAGGCTTACGACGGATGCACAATGCCTTTTGTCGTGAACTTTTTGAAAAGCATTCGGCCAATCGAGTATGTATACGAGGCGAGTTAGAAACTTTGTCGCGGCAACGATTGACGTTACTTGCTTGCCACTCGCAAGCACCTCGATGCGGTTTTCCAGCAAAAGTAATTGCGCAACCTCGCCGAACAGACGAGCCTGATGGCTATTGTGAACAATTAATTCCTAATGGTCACCCTTATAAACTGCAGTTGCTCGTTGGATATCGAGCTTTTTTAAAATTACTTTTCGAATTATTTAGGACTGCATTATAATGACTATTTGAAATTATAATTGACAATTATAATGACTATTTGAAAAATGCAACTGCGATCAAATAAAATTTCAGTTTACCTATGTCATTAAGTATTCTCAACGCCAGCAAAGTATTGACCCAAACACACACAAAAGCCTTTTTATCTATTCTCGATAAATAATTGAAATAACATAGAATATCTCATAAGGAAACCCCGTAGTGGTAGGGAGTGACGTACAGTTCACTCGCGACACTAAAACGTATATAAAATTTACGAGAAAAAAGGTGACGGGTACCCAAGTTTTTAAGAGCAGCATTTTAGAAAAAAAAATCATCTCAAAAACATGGATAAATTCAGCGTGAAATTTCTCATACCGAAAACATACACTTTTCTGCGTATTAAGCAGAAGAAAATCATCGACAAGCATTTTCCGAGACACACTTTTAAAAGCCCATTAAGAAAGGTTAAAGCGATTATCCGAAAGTGCCAACGCGATGAAAGACAGTGTGTGTGAAAGAGAGACAGAGCTGAGAGAGAGAGAGAGAGAGAGAGAGAAGCTTTCACGCGCGCGTGCGTTAGCCACGAGAGAAAAAAGTTGGCGATCGATCGTGGAGCCGGCAGTTCGCAGAGGCGACGAAGCGTGAAACTTTAACGTAATATACTATCCACGTGGACGTGAGAAACTGAGAAGAGAAGCCCGTGCTGTTACATGTAATTCTGCTACACGTAGACTTCGGCGAGAAGCCATAGCTCTTATCTGATTCATGCTCTTCAATGTTATTTAAACGTTGTTTCCTTCAGGGGCTATCTGCACGAGCTTGAGTATGTTTGTTAAGTAGTTTGGATGAGATTTTCTGCACAGGGGCAATTGTAACACTTTAAGCAATTATTGCAGCAAAGGATTAAGATAAAAGTTTTGTAGGTGTTCAAGCGTACTCGAAATATAATGACCTCAATGTGCATTCGATTGTTACTAAATTGTGAATTTATAAATAGCCGAGATTGGATATTTTCATTCAGAAAAGCGCTGAACGAGTGGAATTGAATATTTCGAAATTAACCGTAATATATCAGTAAACTATTGATCGAGATCGATTAACCGACAGGCGAAATGAGATACCGCACTTGTGACTAAAAATAGTCGAGAAAAAGCTGCCGAGAAAAGCGCTCTAGTGTAATCGTCGATTAATATTCGTTCCGTGTTCTATTGGAAACACTTGTTACATGTATTTTCAATTACAAGAGGTGCAGGCTGACTAACATTGTTCTTCCCCTGTACACAAGCACACACGTAAACAACTTATTCACGTCAGTGAAAACTAGTACATCGCAAATTCATAAACATCGCTATTTACCGGAAAAACATTAGCATGCTAACGCGCACATATAGATAAGCAAGGTCATATAAAGTAAAGTTGAGTTTCTAGAGGAAGAAGGAAGCTGACGTCGTGTGGATGTTTGGCATGATTGTCAGTGTGTTTTCACTGCGTTTGTTGAAGTTTGATGAGATTCCGCGGGGGAGAGAAAGCGAGTATACGCTCTTGTATACGCTCTTCTCGGCGAAATTTTGCGGCCAGGAAAAAGTTGGCTTTGAAAACCTCGTTATCGCAGCGGAGAAAAAGGATATCATACTACTGCTAACAATATTCCCAGAGCAAAACTGACGTGACGCGCAACGATTTTGACAGGTTTCGCGTGAACTTCGCGCCACCGACGCCAGATGAGTTATGCAAATTCACATGTTTTTCGGTTTCGAACAATAATTCAACAAGTTCCAAACTTGCTGGATTATTTTTTAATACTAAAGTTAAATTGCATTTGACCTACCCTATTACAAAGTTTCTAAGGAAATGCACGCTATGCGTGAAAGTCTGTCGACGAAACTTTGTCATTTCAAGATGTGCACTTGTTTTCGCATTCATCTATATAGCTTGTGATTAGATAGTTCTAAAATTTTATTGGGAACTGATTATAAAACCTTTGTGACTTCATTGACCTGCGAACAAATCAAATCACATCAGCAATGTTATTTTTGAGAACAGGCATCTACACGCCGCATGCTCACGAATAATCACAGC